ACGTCGGCGCACGAGCTTTTAGGAAACAAAAGAAGCATGTTATAGTGCTATTCCCGTTCTGCTTTGACGACTGGACCTTGAAGGATGTGCTAATATTCGAACCCGATTCTGGAGCGTTTGATATTCAACACTTGTTCAGCCCACCGTCAGCATTGGCTCGGTTATGTGACGTTTTAGGAGGGGAAAAAAGAGAAACGGTGGTATTACAACAAGAAAGAGATGGTACGAGTTCTTCAGTTGAGATTGGTTGGCTGGCGGGCTAAATTTAGCTCCGTCTAGCCAACAAAGTTTTCTCTACTTTCTTCAATTCTGTTGCATAAATTGTAGATTGTTTTCGTACTGAACTATTCTTTATTCTTTTCTACATCTTTTGAGTTCATGCTTGTGTTGATACAGTAAGTAATTCAAAAATGCGGGCCAGAAAATCATCACCACTCGGGACCGTTGTGTACCATCATCTTAATATACAGCGTATGAACAGCGAAAAAGTCGATGCAGTGCAGCAAATTTTGTCTTGTGATGACAATTTAGTGAAGATTTTTTGTGTAACGGAATCCCATCTTTGTGTAAATGATCCTTCGCAGTTGTATGAAATCCCGAACTATACGTTTATCCGCAAGGACCGTTCTACTCAGTACCGTAAGCGCAGTGGTGGTGGCATCCTTGTTTACCTTCCTTCCCACGTTACTTATTCTGTTGTTGATGTTTCCTCTGATAATGTGGATGTGGAAAGCCTGTGGTTATTGCTTCGATTCGGAAATAAAGAAGTTCTCCTGGGTACCGTATACAGAGCTCCTGACACCAACGCTCGCAGTACGGAGGCTTTATTCGACCATATCCGTGATGTTCTCTGTAGGTACCCTAGTTGTGACTATGTTATAACAGGGGATTTAAACATTAACGCCAACAATGCCAGCTCCCCATTTTATCGTCATTACGTTGATATCTGCAATGAATTCGATCTCGAAGATATGGTTATTGGTGGTACACGCGTTTCAAATCGCCGAAAAAAGTCCGATAATTCCCCTTATGTGACCAACTCGAAAATTGATGTTATGTTATGCCACCCCCCTGTTAGTTACACCAGCAGTGCAGCAGAAGACATCGATATTTCCGATCACCGCATGTGTCGTACTACAGCAAAATACAAATCAGCTGTGCCACGTCACAAAACAGTTTCCTACCGTTTGTGGAAGCATACGAAAGAAGAAGACTTTGCAGCGCAAGTAAAATGTTTCACGATGAAAGATGAGTTCCAAGACGCAAACGCTAACGTTAACGCCCAGGTGAGCAGCTTCGTGAAGGGCATTTCTGACATTGTTGATCACTGTTTTCCAACTCGTACGAAGCGTGTGAAGCAGAAAGAAGCCCCTTGGATAACTGAAGAAATACGCAGAAACATCAGAAAAAAGAATGATTTGTACAAGCGGAAATGTAAAGCGAGAGGAACAGATCAGTATCCTGCACTCCATCAGGAATACTGCAGTATTCGGACAGCGGTACGCAAGCACATTGGTTTTGCCAAAGAGCGCTATTTTTATGAAAATCAAAAAAAGACCTCGCGTCTGTGGAAAGAACTGGGCAGAATGTTACGCAAAACAAAACATCAAGCAGAATGTGCAGTTAATCTGGACTCCTTGAACCAGCATTTTGTATCTATGGGCCAACATGGATTCCCGCATGTCGCACCAGCAGCCCCCGTCGGGGCGGATACCGCTAACAGTTTGTTTTGTAGATTTTCAGAAGTCTCGGAAGCAGTGGTGATGTCAATTGTGCAAGACATTAGAGCGAAAAAGAAAGCATGCGGGCCATTTGGGATACCTTCAGGAGTATTAGGAGCCGTCGCTTCTATGCTGGTACCCCCGTTAACCCGCATGGTTAACAAGTCTCTGAGGGAAGGCGTTTTCCCCTCAGTCTTTAAAATGGCTGATGTATGTCCCTTGGCGAAAGTAAACAATGCGAAAAGTGTCGATGATTACCGACCGATATCGCTATTGTGCAACATCTCTAAAATCTTCGAGCGTTGTGTTCAGATTCAACTAACCGCCTTTCTGAAGGAGCATGACCTGTTGTCACAGCGGCAGTCTGGTTTTCGCAAAGGACACTCTTGTGAAACACTACTGGTTAAAGTCACTGAAACTTGGAAACGGGCGATGGATGAAGGTGATGTCACAGCAGTCGCTATGCTTGATCTGAAAAAAGCGTTTGATTCCGTGAACCACGAACAACTGTTATCGAAGCTGAAACGCAGTGGTATTGGCGATGTAGTTCTGGCATGGTTCCATTCGTACCTGACCGATCGTCAGCAACGTGTAAAGATCAACGGAAAGACATCCAGCTGGTTACCAGTCATTTCCGGCGTTCCCCAAGGCACCGTGCTTGGCCCTATACTGTTCATAATATTCTTGAACGATTTGTTGCAGATTATTCAGTGCGAGATCGAAGCCTTTGCGGATGACACTATAATCCACTGTCGCGGGAAAACCAAAGCAGCGGCCGCCGAAAAGTTGAACAAGGCGTTGGCGGAGGCGGCTAAATGGTTTGATGACAACGGATTAGCACTGAACGTGAAGAAATGTGCGGGAATGTTCATATGCACCGAAAAGAAAAATAAAGCCGAGGCCAATCCACCGATCATCCTTAACGGCCAAAAGTTAACCATTAAGCAGCATGCGACATACCTTGGCGTTGAAGTGGATCAACACCTAAAGTGGGACAAGCAGTTCCAGAAAGTAAAGCGCAACATCAACTATGGCATCCAAAAGATTAAACGTGTTAAATCCGGTCTCAGCGATTCCCAGCGAGTTACCCTTCACCACGCCTTCGTCCAGCCATACATAGATTACTGTGCTATGGCATGGTCGGCAGCGTCCTTGGGAGAGCAGGAGCAGCTGATGAAACGGCAACACGCAGCCTTACGGACCATCACCGATAACAGGGAACGGGTAACACCGGAACTGTACCAACGGCTGGGTATAACCGCAGCAGTCGATCGATGGCGCCAGAACGAAGCTGTGTGGCTGTATAAGATACGAAACCGGGAAAATTTCACAGTACCGTCGTACATGTGTGAGCTGATTCCGTTTAAAGAGACCAACGCGAGGTATGCCCTCCGCCGGGAGGCACGCATCGACACCACTGCGAGGTCACGGATTGGAAAGACGACCCTAGCAATGAGGCTGAAAACTTTGTTTGATAAAGTTACTGGTGGTGGAAAAAATAATGGTGTTGAGTATTTTGGTTGTGGCTCTGTTAAGGAATACCTGTCTTCACTGAAACTGGCGAATCTGTTGTAATGATCTTAATTCTGATGTTTTCATATTTCATATGCTACTGACCAGACTTGTTAGTGCCTCGAGGGTTTGTCTGCTCATTGAATAAACTAAACTAAACTAAACTAAACTAAACCTATGTGTTCCTTTCATGGAATGTCGTGGAAAAGAAATTTAGAGTAACGATGCCTGCGTTGAGAGACATGGATCACCCCTATCGCAGCATTACAATGCATGACAAAAACATTTATCTTTTGGACCAGAGTGGACACTTTGCGGAGATCGATGCTTCAACTGGGAGTTCAATGTATCTGAAAACTCCCCCCAAAAGATGCCGGTACGTTGTACAGGTGCTTTTTCTGCTCAAAAGCGGCAATTATATGTTTGCGATCCCATTAAAGCTTTTCGGTTGCAGGTTTCCACAACGAGTGTCACTGACTAAATGTGGTCAGTACATATTTTATGCTACAACGCGCCACTTGTGTCGATATGACACTGTACACAAAGAATGGAAATCCCTGTTGGATTTGCCAGAGATTCGATGGGACTTTGCGATGGCTGCCGTGAACGGATACGTTTACATTTTAGGCGGAATTTTTCTCAAAACACTGGATGACTCCGTACGACACCTTTCGAAAACAGCTGATTGCATCCGTCTGAACATGCATGCTACCGCTCCTATATGGGAAAACATACAGCCACTTCCGCAACCGAGATCGCAGCATGCCACTTGCGTCATCAAAGACAGAATATACGTCTGCGGTGGGCTGTTATGCTGACCAAGAACAAGGGCTGGCAATAGAGTTTTACGACACCAAGGACGACGCAGGATGGTTGTCCGTTAACTTATTGGAAAAGGATATCCAACTGCTATCGAATTTCAAGGCAACGATACCGCCGCGGTATGCTTTTTTATCGGCAGTGGCAATTAATGTAGGTAGTGATACTGAAATAGATTTTCCCATTTGAGCTGTAAATTTCTGTGTTTTATTAGCCGGGATAAGTGGTTTTTCGAAATGTGTCGAAAGATGTTATTCTGTTAATAAATATCGTGTTTACACGTAGAGAAAAATTAATTAGGCAGGCGATAAAAAATGTTAATTAGGTATATTTTAAATGCTAAACTACCAGATAAGTACACAAGGATAAATCTCATTTTTAGTATATTTGTGGGCTTATCTGGATAGAGTGCCTTATGGACGCAAATACAAAGTTAAAAACCCAGAATTCAAGCATCGCAAATTCAAGCATCGCATTGAGTCAGAGTCTGTCACACCAAAGCGGGAGCAAGCGAGCGAACCACAGACAAAATTATTTTGATCGAATTTAGCCAGAGCTGGTCCCAAGATGGATCCCGCATATACTTCTGGTATGTATATGATTTCTGTACATGAAGCTTTCAGTTTTATTGAGCGACCCTCGCTTATGAAGATAAGTGTTAATAAGCAACTACAGTGTCTTCCATTTTGCTTGCTTATTTTATTGATGTTTACAACGCGACATATGAGTAACAGTCACGGTTCATATCATGCAGCCGGCATTTGCTTATTTAGACATGTATACGCAACTAAAATTAGCAGGCACAACTACGAGTATTCGTGCAATGATCCGCACAATTTTAATTCTTCTCGTCCGGATGACGATGATTAGTATTTTAGCTACAGCCTACAACATGCAGGTATTTTAACTACCAGGAACTGTTAAAGCACTTGAAAGATCAAATACATTCTGATAACAGCAGCAAGATCAATGAAAATTCAACATTATTTTCCACAAAGCGTATCGAAACACAGTTCGCGCAAATAGGGCGGCTGGGGCTTATCTTCTGACGGAATAACCATACTGGTCCATACGTATGCACGGTATGAGGAGAATGAAATTAATGCTGCTTCATCAAAACAGTGCGACGATTAAAATTCATGAAATATGAACTGTTGTGTAATGTGCTTACTGAATCATCCGAATATGCTGCGCAAACACTACTAACAATTTAACACTGACCAAAAAAGCACCATGAAAAAATGGGACAAGAATTAGCAGCAAAACCGAGATCCTTCTCTGCGTAATAGCAGACGGAATTCGGGACTTTTACACGGCCAACGTCCGTCCTAACAAGAGATGGCGAAGAAACTTCTCCCGCTGGATATCCCGCGCCAGACCCTGAGTCTGTTCTTCCGCCAGCTTTCGCATCTAAACAACATGATCAAAATTCCATCAACTTTACACACTGATAGGCAGCCCCAATCCGGGAGAATTAGCATCCGGTTACCTTGCGATATTTCAACAGATCCAAGTCAATGTTCTCAATCTGCAACGATTGCGTTTAAAGCCTGTAGCATAATGCCGCTATGCCTACGGAGCAAATAACGACCAACCTGATTATTCAGCTGGACCATGTCGTTCTGCAGACGCTGCGCTTGCAGAATATACGCGTTCTAGAAAAAGTCATGACCTTTATTACATAGCTCCACTATATAGTGCAGAACGTAGGCGAATCCATCAACGTACTTTGCGGTAGTCGCCGTATAGTTCATAGCGAATGGGCTTGCGCAGTTCGAAGAGCCGCACCAGATTGTCCATCAGTTCGGCTTCCTCCTCTTCCAGCTCTTTGACGCGCTCCTCCAACGGCAACGTATTGCGACGCAGCTGCAGGAAACGGCCGCGCCAGTGCTCTTCACCTGAAGCGGACTTATTCAAAGCACAATCAAGCGCTTATATACAGTGAGTATAATTACCGATGTTCTTCAGAAGTGCGGTCTTCTCTTCGATGCCGCGTACTTTTCCGAACAATCCAGCCAACCGGCGTTCCATTTTGCTGGTTTCGAATTTCTTCCGGTAGTTGACAGGATCCTTCTCCAATTCTGCGAAAAAGTAATACATAATTTTTAAAATAAACTTTAATAAATAAAAACTAAAATAAAATGAGACATAAATTATTATAATAAAAGACAAAAGCAAAGGATATTCCGTAGTATTTTTTCAAAATAACTACTTAAATTTTCTGTTAAAATTTAATAAATTAATCTGCTAACTAATTGTTTTTAATCATTTATTAAATTTATCTGTTTAGTCAGTTATTTCGCTGTTGGCCACTTCCCAATGAGTATTCGTACCTCGAAGATTCAGCGCTGAATAAGACAACGCCGGTCGATCGAGAAAATAATCGTCCATAGTCACCGAATCCGCGGTGCGGAACCCATCCAAATCGGAAACCGTCGAGGACGTCGCACTGCGCAGATCCTCCACCGAAACAGACTTCTTCAACATACTCCGCTTTACCGGTAGCCGCACCCCAACGCGCCCCTCATCCCCGATGACTTCCTTCGTCACCCGCTGCTCCTTGCGGATCCGCACGGTCCCCGGGCGTTCGCGGTCCATCCGATCGCGGTCCTCCTCCGGGATGTCCGGATCCGAGTCGTCCTGTCGCAATCGCGGTTCCACCGACTTGGAGTACCTCCGACGAAATGTGGAGCCCCCTCCGCGTCGCTTCCGGGATTGGCTGCGACGACGGCTGCGGCTGCGGTCCTCCGTCCGCTCGCGTTCGTCCGACCAGCGTGCGCGGCCCGAGTTGCGGTTGGAGCGGCTGTTGTCCGAGTAGTAGAAGCGTGTCTCGTCCTCCGGGAAGTCGGCGTAGCTCGGGCGGCGGTCGCGGCGTTGGTTGGAGTCCTTGCGGTTGCGGCCACCGCGCTGCTGCCGGCGACTGGAGTCGCGTGCCGACCGTGGACGCTCCGTCGCGTTCGCGTTGGAAGCTGGTAACGGACGAACAGGTAATAAAAAATTTCTGTGACTTTAAGCTTTTCGCTCTGACCTTTACGCTGCCGTTTGCCTTTACGAGAGGCGCCCGGTTCGCCCGTGGTTTCCACGATGAGTATTTCCGGATCCCGGCCCTGTTGAGCAAAACATCACCACCCACGCTGACAATTTATTTTTTTTTTCCTACTTTTTTTAGTTAATAAATCAAAACACAAAATTGTTAAATTACTAGGTATTTACTGATAAATAATTTTTTAATAAAGAATTACCATGCTTCATTTTACTCCTTGTTTTTATAATTAATTAATTCCAGTTTATTAAATTAGTAACCGGGTGCAATATTTAATATGATCACAAGCCAATAAAATCCGATTGTTCATTAATAAATAAATTGAATAAACAAAAATAAAGCGGGTGTTAAGAAACTGGAATATGCAACCTATTCTTCGTAACACATTGGCCGCTTGCTTCTGTAATCGTATAAGGAAAGGTCACCGTTGAACTCACTTACCACCAAGTCTTTAACGCGCAACAATGCTTCCTCTTCTTGCCAAATCTGCAAAGCAGCCGTAAGAAAATAAGCCTCAGTGTACTGTATAATACTAAAAGTAACAAATTCCGGCTGATCTGACCTCGACCAGCTGCTTGCCCAGGCGTTCAACGAAGGCGTAGTTAGCCGGCACCCGTTCCGCCTCAAACTGACGATTCAGCGCCAAACGCAGGTCCGCCAACGTCGACTGCAAATCAACCCTGGAAAAATCATGATACAAATGCATAAGTAAACGTTTTTCTGATTGGAAACGCTTGTAATGCAAAGCCTCACAACAAAGTGCAAATCTTTCCGCACACTGATTCCCAAAAACATAACGGCATAATTTAGTACTAATATTATTCATTAATGACAATTGTGAAAATATATTTAGTAAAAATATTTTAAAAATATACATAGTTAAGCGAATTATTTTAAAACTTTCACTAAATATTTTTGATTGATAAATGGCTAATTTTCCCCGCATTGGTTCACATGAACTTAACTGGATAAATAAATGATTATTGAAATTTAATTTTGGAATAATTAAGGGATAATTAATTTAAAACATAAAATATGAAATAAAACAAAATAATTTAAATCAAGTAACAGGCGATCATAAAAGAAAATAATCATAAGAATTCCATTACCGCACAATGCCGACGGATTTGCCGTTCTCAATGGACGCGTCTATATCCACCGTGCCGCTCTTGTCCTCCATCCATCTTCCCGGGAACAGCTCACGAACGTGCACTTCCATGAAACACACAAAGGTCACCGCGCTCTTAACGCCTGCTGGAAGAAACCACCGCTCTGCTGTTCGCCGCGCAACGTTTTTATAACAAACTGGTTGTAAAGCATCAAAACGGGATAATTGCCGGCGGAAGCGCTCTCCACCGGTAGACAAACAGTGTCCCCGCGAAATGTGGGTCCAAGGACGTCTAGCCTAATTCGCCGTTTCTATGCCGGCTTTTGTCTAACCGGCGCCGGATCCATCTACCTAAACACACAGCGCATTGTGGTGTTTTCTCGCTGTGTTGATGAGTCAACGCTGGTCCATTAAGAGCGGTGCATGATGGACGGAGCATCTATCACTGACACGCATTCGCTGATGTGTGTGCTGATCGGCCGGTTAACTGTACCAACGCCCTTGTCCGCCGCGGCTCACCGACAAAGCAACGGACAAACGGAAGTGGCCCGGCATGCACCTAACATGCACATCGCGTCGTAATCGTAATGTGCTCGTTTTCATCGGTCGGTGTTGTTGTTGCGTGGAACGTTACGATGCGATTATTTTTCTTCGGTAAACAGTCTCAGCTGCATTAGATTTTCACCGTTAAACTGCGCTTACTTTTCCTTATCACTGAATTTCCTTATCACCTTATTATCAAATATTATGTCGTTATTTATTTTAATTTATTTATCTTCTTAATGTACTTTTAATATTAATTATTTAAATATTGATTATTATATTTTTAATAATTAAAATTCTATTTTGTATAATTTTTTCTAATTTTTTCATCCTCCGACTAAAATATTTCATAATAATTTCAGTCATGTTTATTGTGCGTCTGAGTGTAAGGTTAAAATCTGTTCAGCTGCGGCTGATTTGTGCTGTGATATTATTGATCTCGGCTGCCGTATCGATATCACCGGAAATGGAGGCACCGTGCACTCTGCAAACGGACCATATGTGCACCGAGCCGGGCGCCAGTTATCCCTGGTAAGTGGCGTTAATATACCCGGCTTCAACAATAACAAGGAGCGGGGATTTATTTGAACAGGAAGCAGATCGACAAGTACATTGAGGAGAACCGTGGGCTGACGTACCGCTTGTTCGGCGCCGTGACGGATCCGCTGAGTCCCTTGAAAAATCTCAATGTTAAGGAGATGGCGGAGTACCGGGTGGCCAAGAAAAACCAGCCGCTGTTACGGTACGGAATATCGAGTAGCGATTTGACTTTGTTCGCCTGCTTCTAATATAAAGGCAGTAACACGGTACATAATAATTATCAAATAATGTTGATCTGCATTTGCGTGTATGAAGACCGTTTTTACACCGATAAATTCTTTTTGAAATTATACTAGCATTTCAGAAATTTTTAAATTCTTGTTTTCAGAATTTGAAAAATAATTTATTTTGGACTTCTGGCTCGGTGTACGAGCGATCTTCATGTCTATATTTATTCATAATTTTATTTACATTTACGGGAAAAATTCGGACAGGATCGGTTTATGCGTAATGATTCTTTTGGTACACTTGGTTGTGCTGCAGCGTTGTGGAATACTATGATAACCACAATAATGATTATCCAAGTCGATAACGCAGGCACAAACGATCTTCCCGCCAAAGTACTCAATACACATCTCTTTGCTGCATAGTAATATTATTAAGAAATTTGTTGGGAGTACGTACTTAAAAAAAATACCGCCCTTCCGCATTTAGTATTTTATTTACACAATCAGTGCGGTACATGGCACGAATAGCAATGCTTAGTTATTGCTGTTATTGTATATAAACGAATTATATGCTGGTAATTGGCAGGAATCCTTGCGTCAGCGATGTGGCCTTGGAGCAGCCGTACTGGTCGAAAAACCTGAAGGGTCAACTGCGCGTCATCGTCAACCACAGCCCCTTCGAGCAGTTTGTCCAGCTGGAGAAATGCCTGTACGTCGTAGCTCATTGAGGAAAATTATGCAAGCCACACGAAGCATGCGAATGCAAATAAACCGTATTCCTATGCATAATGCATTAATGTATAAAGTCAAACAGCCACTAAATAATCCGAATACGTATCAATGTTTTCAGTCAAATAAAATAATTAAAATATGTTTGCAATGTTATAAAATTTTATTTTTTCGCCGTCTTCGCATAATAATTATTATAAAAACACAGTACATATTACATAACGGGCACTTTTATTGTTCAGTTTTTTAATCTTATCTTATATCAGCTAATGGTTGTAATAGTAGCAATATTTTTAAAAAAACACTATTCTTTATGAGGATAGCAAATTACAAAAAAATAGTTTATTCATAGCCTTCGAGTAATAATTAATTTTGCAGTTCGACGCCAGACATGGACAGCCCGTACGACCAGCTGGAGCAGCAGTGCCCCGACGACGACTGCCTGTGCATGCAGGAGTACCGCTCGGTGCGCCTGGTGGCCTACGACCCGGCACAGGACGAGAAGGGCATCTTCATGGACTGGTTCGAGTTCCCCTGCTGCTGCCAGTGCAAGTGCTTCGATCGCGGCGAATCCGCCAACACCACGGCGGCCAGCACCACGCTCAGTACGGCGCACGTCTCGGCCGAGCGCGATCTCGACGATCTGACCACCACCAAGGCCTCAACGACCTCCACGCTGCGGCCGACTAACAGCCGGAAACCGGAGACCACGAAAACGGAGCCGACGTCCACACAGAGCACACCGGCTTCGCGGCCGCATACTTCATGGAAAGGTCACTCCATTACGCTTGTACTCTAGCATTTTCTCGGTTTCTGTGAGTTTGTGTACATATACCCTGTAATTTGTTACATACATTGCTGCTATGCTCAAGTGTACAGGTTCGATACAGGTGCAGGTAAAGAACAAGTTCGATCTCCGACTAAAATCTGATGTGACCTTTGTATCGATATATAAAAACTTGGCTTGGTCAAATCCATTTATCATATGGAATTAGTTATTTTTGCTTTTTTTGTGAATTCATTTTTCATTTTTTCCTTAGCTGTTTTAAAGCTTCTACGAGATCGCCTGTTCAGAGTCACGAAAAATCAGCCAGGTCAAATTCTCATAAAAAATAAAAACATATACTTTTCTATTATTTGTCACTCTTGAGCTCCATGAGTGAAATCGTTTTACCTGCAGCAACGGCCGCAACGTACGGCATTACGGCGGCACGTCAGTAATTAGTGTATTAATTGTCTGCGTTGCGGATAAATGCGGCAAGAGGGGTTAGTAAGAAAAAGAGGGAGTAAATGAATATTGGTACATGGTATACTACTGTAACCTTCACTGGAGAGTGAAGACATAGAGCACGCTTAACACAAGAACTGAGCGGTAAGCAAGAAGAAGAAATGGTTGATTTCCGAGACGCATTCAAGAAAACTGGATGCTTAAGGGAAACGGCCCGATACATGATGTCAAAAATGCAACACATACACTAAAAGTTTTGCTTTCCCGCAGTCGGAATCACTTTTTTGTAACACTTTATTTCATTCGGAAGCTAAATGATTTGTATACACTGTTCCGAAAAGCGTTTGCGCGCGCAACATCCGGTTGTCGAGATCCGGCGTACTAAAATGGGTGAAAGTTCATAATACCCAAAAGTCTGGTTATTACCTGATCTTCTTGAAACTTTGCTGTAAAAGACACCTGGCCATGAAGTCGAAAGTGAACCAATATCAGATCCATAGCATTTTTTTCCAATTTTAAAATGAATTTTCCAAAATTTTAAAATTTATTTTAAAATTATGGGAAGGCCCGGGTACGTTTGAAGGGTAGGAAGTAGCAGTAAGGATATGCCAATATGTCAGTCCCCCAAAATGATCCTCTTACCCAGTGACCTGTCAGGCAGCTCTGAATGTGGTCAGTTACCGACTGATCAGGAATTCAAAAATAGCTTAAGAAAGCACGGATGCGATATTCCTTGTTTTTAATTTGGTATTCGGGGAACGCGATATCTCGACTGAATAAACAGCCATGGGAAGCCACTCACACCAGTACAGTGTGCGATAACAGAAACAGGGCCTGAAAACTTGTGCTCACATAGCACAAAATGTGCTCACATAAAGGTGCATGTGCTCACCTAGATCGCAACTTGTGCTTAAAAATTGTCAATACTCCCCCGTTCTGTGTAATTAACCAGCTTCTAATTGTTTTTATTTGTTTTAAGAGAGCAAAAACTTTCACGAAAAAACAAGTAAAAGCTACAAGCTAATGCGTGTCACGTTAACTTTCACTGGGAGATGTGGCAGACGGCATGTTTTATACTTACTACTTACTAGCCAGTGTAGTAGCCACACTTCTGACGATGCATAACTTACATGGTCAATAGTGCTCCTGTTGCACGTAGTAAAATCACGCGCGCTGTTTATAGCATTTGTATAAATGTCTTTCGTGCGCAGTTAGTAGAGTGCATAAGGTCGTATAATACTGAAAAACAAATCTTTAATCAGCGAACTCAGAGAAACAGCTGCGTTCTTATATTTGACCTCCAGTTGGCAGAATCAGGTGGAAAATTAAAAATTTACACAAGCCACGTATTAGACTGCTTTGATTGTGTCATTTGATGTACAAGCATTGTGTGCTTCAACTTTCACGGGATGATCTGGTGGTCATTTGAGAGAACGACCATTTCGGCTAGACATGCGGTATTCTAGTGGCTGTACCAGCAACAATTGTCCATTTACCGATAGAGTTAAATAGGGAATGCCATCTGCGTAATGGAAACAATAGCCACATTTATGAATACTTTTTTCGAAATTACTGATCTACTTTTTTCTCATTTCCGCTTTTGGATTTACCCTGCGAAACAGCATTATTACTAAGTTCAACAAATGCTGCAATGCGCTATTGTGCATTTGAGTTATGTAGCGCCAGAAAGTGTGGTTACTTAAAAACTTTCCCAGTGTCTACTGGCAAATCTCCCAGTAACTGAAAACGTTTAAACGTGGTGGGTACTGGCGCATATATCTCTCTACTGGGCGATATTTTTACAGCCTCTACTCGTAGCACTTGTGATCTTAGTCGACCATTAGAATATCTTAGCGATTCAGCTCGTGGTTATCTTAGTAAATCTTTATCAAAGACCAGTTCGCCCGGTCCAAAACTGACACCGTTGCTGAATGTCAGCCATAAGGTCATCAATGCAGCCCCTGCCATGTTAAGAGTTCGGGGCAAAACGAATCGCAACACAAAACGTTTCGCTAGTTTTATATACTAGTGTTGAACAAATTTGACAAACCCGAAATAGTTCTGAATAAATAACTTAATTTTATTAATTTTCTTGTATTTCCTGGTCAAAAAGCAACGTCGGCTTCGCGCGAGGCCTCGATTCGGACTCATGGGAGAAGCGAAAAAAGAAAAAAAACATTCGCTGTCGTACTTACAAAACTCTAGAACAAAAATACTAACAACTCCAACTATCTCACAACTCATGTTTATTGTATTAAATGCCAATTTTATTGATTGCTCCTACACGCCACGCGAGAACACCAAAGGTGGGCTCGGAATTTACTTCCTTTGGGCAGTTATGCCGAACATGGCCGGAAACGGCCCCAAGCCCAAAAGCCAAAACAAAACACAAAGAGACGGCGGAAGAAGATCCGATAAAGCGTTATGAGGATGCTAGTTGATAGAATCAGTCGCAACGATGATGCAGCTATGTCAGAACGATAAGTGAGGTGCGGAATTCCGCAAATCTCGAAAATATTTGTAAATCAAGTGCTCCACATAAAACGCAAATCAGTACAGCTTAGGGCGGAATCCACCGAGCGAAGTACATTTGCACGAAAAATATAATAAAGCCGGTTGCAAGGAAGTCCTGTCGCGTCCGGCGGCAATAAGCAACACAGACGAACGCTTTTAGTTGGTCTGGGGTTTCCACAGACCTAGCTAAACTCACGCCTGATTCCTGGATTGGGATGCTGCTAATAAGTTAAAATGCTGTTCCGACGGAAATCACGTCAAGTACAGCACGGCTCACAAAATAGATGTCCGCAATCGATGAATCACGTACACAAGCAGGTAGCGACGGAATTCCTGTCGCATCCTACGACGACAATAAAATAAAATTAATGGCAACCACGAAAACGATACCATATAAGACGAAGTAATACAACGACGCACTACTGGAAGGTAAAGCGCTGCTTTGGTGGAATTCACACCGTGCAGTGCGGTACATGGGAACGTACACACAATCGGAGAAGCGTGCACACAAAAAAGGAAGCAACGGAATTCTTACTGCGTCCTACTGTTAATAGAAAACGATAAGCAAAACTTTTCGGTAGATCTGGGAATTCCACAGGTCAACCGCAAGCAGCACGGTTCCGGGAGTAAAGAAGTAATCTATGCCACGTAAAAGTTGCACAATACAACAAACGGGTTGAAGATCCGGAATGTGAAAGGCAGACAGGTCACGGCAGCAAAAGCGGTAAGAATTCAATGGCAGCAGAAGACAATTAAGCGAAGACGAAGAATCCGGGTCAAAGGAAAATTTTTTATTTAGGTAGGAGGCAGACAGAAGTAATTCTCCGGAAACACCATAAAGGTCGTGATTAAAGTGAGCAAAGGTTACCGGCGTTTCGAAGTAAGAAACAGCGCGGCGATCTCTTCAGCAAGGTTTGCGTAGGAAATCCCGGAAAAGTCCGTACGGCGGTAATTTGGTGGCATCTTCCACTGTTAAGGAACATTTATGGACCGTGGACGAAAACTCCATAACGGGCTCGGCAACTGCGATGTCCTGGCTCGGAGCTTTGACGGAATTCCGCCAAGTAGGCTTAGGCCATGGAATCAAGTCCGCAAGGTTGAGCGGCTGATGCAGAGTAGGTGGCAACAAGTAGTGGTCCAAGGCCGATTTCCTTTCCATCTTCGGGTTACGGGCATGCTTTCTTTCCACATCACAAATGGGACGGTTGACGTGTTGACGGTTCATGCGATCCAACTTCTTCTTACTAACTGGTTGAACGCAATCAGCACATACACACCGACACATGCTTTAACAAACGCAGACATGGTTAAATCCATGCGATTTATGCATCAAAGGCATCTGCAAGCTGCTGTCAACATACGGTATCACGATGGCGTCAAAAGGCTAAAGGTCATGGGTCACCACACAACGTTACAAAAGTATACAGTAAAACAACTTTTATGCTGAAAATTTTTTTACGCAGCAAGTGACACACGTTAGCGCTTAACATTTCCCAATTTATACCGATTCACACACACATGTAACTGTAACAGAGAGACCACTAGAAAGGGGGCGTGTCGCGTGTCGCAATACCCGGATTCCTGCGTCCCTCTGAATCCAATCCGATAGGCATTCCCATAAAATTTTCAGTAAATTTGCCAACGTGTGCAATCTCCTGAGTGATTACAATGTCAGCCATTATGAAAATACAGAGCAAATAATCAATACCCCCTCTTTGCAAAATTAAGTGTGCTCACATAGATTTTGAAGATTTTAGGCTCTGACTGTTACAGAAAACAGAATCAGAAAACCCACAACAGATTTTTTCGGTTGCTGTGACTGTAAGGCCTTTCCAGCATTACCGTCGATGAGTAGGTAAACACCAAGAATTTCTTGACAAAACGGGTATCCAGTGTTGTCAACAACGCTGACAGAAGCATTTCTTGGGCCAGCCCAGGCACAAGGACTGTCCGCCGCCACGCTGCTCGCAGTAAGGCTGGCAGTCGGCGTTGTTGGCACACCGAGGTGCGACGCACTGCGACCGCGCAATCGAACGGAGGTCCATGATGTCGTTACTGCGCTCCGGGTAAGCGGCTATCATTATCAAACAAAACAGGGCAGTGTATAGTATCCCGAAACTGCTGCGTAGCACACTACTGGTCCACATGGCTGCAATAGCAAACATGTCGAACCACGGACTGCAGTGGCACACAGTGTTTTTCTCCTTAATGCCTCGGTAATGTGCGGTCCACAGTGTGGACCGGTGTGGACTCCACACCGGAGATCTATCAAACCGATACGGTAACGTTTGTTCTAGCTGCTGTGCAGTGAAAACGATGGCTAAACGGAAGTGCAGCCGTAGAACGCCGTGCCATGCTGGCATTTTAAATATCTGATCTTGTCAGAAGATACAACATAATTATCGCCTGGCCTAATACACCATCATGTTATGAACTGCATACAAAAATGAAAAAAATTATTAGTTTTTTTGCATTTTTATACTTTGCCAAAATTGCATCTCGGCATTGTAAAAGTTGAATTCGGCCAGTCAATTCGCGGTTGAAAAATTTCTTAATAAATTTAATCAACACTGCAACAAGAGCATATCCGAATGTTAATAGCCAGCGCTGCGTTCAAATAGAGAAGCGCTTGTTTGTTCAATATGCATGTAAAACCAAGCTTCGATTTTTTCAGTCAAGCATTGTACATAACTACCTTTTAAAAACATCGTTATAAAAATATTCTTTTTTCTATTTGTGCTTGATTTAGCGCAAATTTATTTGCGTACAATAAAAAAAGAAAGGTCACTGAAAGAGATCCGGGTAGTCGGTGATAATCCCATCAACACCGTCGTCCATCAACCGATTAATCGTCACCGCACTGTTCACCGTCCACGGCAATATCTTCATCCCTAACGCGTGCACCGCGTCAATCAGATCCCGCGTCACCAGCGAATAATGAGGCGAATACGTCGTCGGCACGAACCCCAACGAATCTAGGTACGTAGTTAAATTCCCGCGTGACCCCTCCTCGATCAACGCGGCCGTCCGGATTGCCGGGTACTTGTCGTGTAAATACCGCAGCGTCCGGAAATCAAACGACTGAATCGTCAATCTCTCTAGAATGTTTCCGGCGGAAACCACGCCCACCAGCGCCTCCACGAACGCCGCGGGCGGCGGATGGAACAGGTCATCGGTGGACGCTAACGATTTCGTCTCGATGTTGTACAGCGGGAGGGTCCGGTTGTTGTTGACCTTTACGTACTCTTCCACACTGCTGATTAGATCGCGGAGTAAAGGTTTCGTCGCCGGTTGCGGCGTTTGCCGCGGGAAACGGGGGTTCCCGCGGGCCCCCACGTCGTACTGCTGCGTCGTGGTGTAGTTCATGCGGTAGATGTTCAGGGAGCGCTCTTCGGCGGGGCGGACGAAGGAGCCGTCGGGTTTGGTGGTGATTTCGTGGTTGAAGAAGGGCTCGTGCGAGACGATCACGTGACCGTCGTTGGTGATGACGGTGTCGAGCTCCAGGGTGGTCACGCCGAGGTCCAGGGCGTGCAGCATGGCGGCGATGGTGTTCTCCGGGAGGAGGCCGCGGCAGCCGCGGTGGCCTTGCTTGTCGAAGGACGACAGGGTTTTAATGCATCTGTAAAATGCCAGTTAAACGTTCAGCATTTGGGAATTTGATTAAGTACTGCGAAGACGAATATGATTATGAAAGCGCGTAGAAAAATTGGTAAACGGCAGGAATTTAAAGTGCAAACGCAAACGCATATAAAACACGGGAAATCATATTCACTACTTCTACTGCTGTACGAGTATTAATCATACATTTGTTATTCGACATTAATTTCATGTTAAATTCTTCATTAATTTCAAACTAGTTATATGGTTTTCTTTGTGATGTGCATTCTGAATTTTTCTTTTACGATTTAAATCCGCAATATTTTTCGAAGTCGCTTGAACGAAATAGGCTCACAAATATAAGTAATTACGATTTTATTAGAAAATTTTTTAAAAAATAAGCAAAATTAATGTAATTCATTGTTCGATGTGTTAAAAATGGTCATATGGTTTACAAAATTCCGTCAAGCGTACAAACCAAACATTTCTGAAAACAGACTGAATAATTTTTTGATTGAATGTTTTCCAAAATACATACAGACTAACTTTATAACGGCAGAATTAAGGAAAACCAGTATATGTACTCTGTAGATACTTACTACAAATTCAATTTTGATCTGAAAGTAATTAAACGTGACTGAAATATTTCTTACTAAAAAACAGCTAAAATCCTGCCATCGTATAAAGAAAATTTTTAATGCAATGACAATTGACTGTAAAAGCTCCTTAATAAATTTATTGCACAGCAATAATTTACCGGTTTCATAAAAACAGAACATAAAATATAGCGCTAAAAAATTGGTTAGAATAATCGAATATTAGGAAAAAATGGACGGGCAAATGGGGGAAATTGTAGAAACAAATACCGGAAGCAGGTGGCGGGTTTCTTCAGCGGCTGTACCGTGTCTTCCTTGAAACTGCGCGTATTCCCCTCGGCAATCGCCGCCAGCACACCGCTGGCTAACAAAAATCCCAACACACGTGCAGAAAGCATTTTTAGTCGACTTTGACGCTCCACCACACTCTGCTGCTTATTATGCTGAATACCATAATGACCATGAAAGTTTCCTGATAATTTCATGAACGCATGTGTTTATGATAGTGTGGTGATACGCGCACGACGATAAAACCGGATAACTGCACGGTAATCACAGCCGATTAAGAGGAAAAACAAACACCGGCTGCGGCAGATTGTCACTGATTGATTTATCGGTTATCATCGTATATATGCGCGTGACCTTTGCCCGATCATTACACAAAGCAGAGTAAAATCGCGTAAAACGATAAACAAGTCCAAAGTCCATATAAATCAGTCGGCTTTTATTAAAAATTAAATTTAACCAATTTATCATGCAAGAAAACGAAAACGCGAATAAATTTTATTAAAATTAATATTAACAGATTAATCCAGAATAAATATAAAAAATAAATAAAAATAGAGAAAAAATATTAGATTCGAGGAACGCGATTTTTTCGCTTCGCCGGATCGACACTCTTCCACAGTTGCAGGTAGGTGTCGCGCCCGGATGGGATGACATTCTCGGCGCCCTCGGAGGTGGTCGACACGAAACCGGAGGTGGTCGACGACGGCGTCGTGGTGTTGCTCGCACCTCCGAGGTCCGCGGTGGCCTGGGGAAGGGCCGGAAGTGGCGTGGTCGTCGGCCGACCCACCAACCGGCGTCGGAAAGCCGTGGCGTTGTTTGACAACGGTCTGCCCAACGCGGCGATGTAGTCGGTGCGGTTGGAGGGCGGATAGGGGAACTTGAGGACCCCGGCGGCGTGCCCGGGGGCCGGGGAGGTCAGGGCCGGTGGTGGGGTTGCGGAGGTGGTGGTGTTTGTGGCGGTGGTCGTGACCTTTGTCGTGGCGGTCACGGTGGTGGTCGTGGCGAGCGTGGAGGTGGGTGGGGTAGTCGGGAGCGAGGTGAGGAGGGTAACGGATGGCTCCGTGTCGTTTTCGTAGTCAAAGTCCGTCTCCGGGGTGCTGTTGGAGGGGGTGGAGGTGGCCACGGGGGCGGGGCTGGTGGGGGTGACCATTTTGGGGAGGGGCAGGTCGGGATGGGACTCGGCGTTGGTGGACGGGTCCAGTTCGTAGCAGTGGCAGGCGCAGCACGACGGGAACTGGAACCAGTCCTGCACGAAAAATTAGGAAAAAATGAAGCCATTCATTAATAATTATGGATTAATATTAAAAATTTAACTGAAATCAATAAATAAAATTAATTAATAATAAACATTTAGCAGTTAAGCGAATAATTAAAATGTAATAAATAATTGTAATAATTACTAAATATTGAATAATATATAATAAAAGCCAAAATTAATATATAGCAAGCAAAAATTTAATTTGTAAATAAAAAGAAATAGTGTTTTACCATAAAAATGCCGCGGCATTCGTTGCGGGGATCGAAAGCCAGCAGCCGGTACCATGAGTATTTCTGTTCGCACCGACAACCGTCGCGACAGCGTCCGGAAGTGCCCGGTCTACATAAAAAAAAGCCGGTTATAATGCCAGTAAATTAAGGAACTGTGCGTGCTGTTTTTGCTACGTACTTGCAGACTTCCTGTTGTACCGCTTGCTCGAAGGGCTGGAAATTCACGAGGGCCAGCGTGGTTCCGGCGCTGTTGTTGGCCCAGAACGGCGTCACCACGAACTGCTCCGACGGGCACGCATTCCTGTAGCATCAAGTGTCCTAACAAATTAATCCGCATTTTTATAAAGAATTTACCAAAATTAGTTTTTAACACAAATTATTCAGAGTAATAAACGAGCGCTATCAATGTGTACCAGCAATTTGTTCCGTGAAATATTTGGGAAATTAAAAAATAGAAACAGTAAAACATATAGTGAGAAAATATCTAATAAATAAGCAGATAACTGCATAATTCTTATTTCTTAATTGTACACCGCATAATTGGGTCTTTTGATTTGCTATACATGTATTCCACTGTGAAGTCATCACATATAATAAATGTTTTTAAATTTTCACGTCAGAACTGAACGCGAAAGTCAAAGGTAGACGGAGGCACTCACACGAAGCCGTCCGGCTTGTCCTTCTCGAGGCGTCCTTGCCGGCTCATGGGGCCCTGTGCGCGCAGGCGCGCCTGCTTGCCGGCATCGTGGTCGCCGTACATGCGCTTGATTAGCGCCTTGTTGTCCTCCATGTAACTGTTAGTCACAAGAATTATTATTATTGATATAATAATTATTATTATATTATTTTTAATTAAGCCAACCTGTTGATGGCCAGCCAGGGGTAGGCTTTGCCCGGCAGCGTGCAGGGCGTGTCCGGCCGGCTGAGATCGCAGGGAATGTCGTGGAGATCAAAGTCCGGCCGGGTGCGCGGCAAATAATTGGAGGAGGACGACCGCAGCGGTTCACGATCGGCGCGGACCAGCTGCAGCAGGAATCCGCCGCTGCTGACTATGAAAACCAGCTGCAGGATCGCCCGTGTGGGGCTGGACCGCGGCACGGATCTCCTCTTATTTAATACCTGAAAATGTACAACCAACTGCTCTTAGTTATCTGCGCATGGTTCTCCCTTTTTTTCCATACCACAATTTCCTATTAATTTTTAATGTGGCGTGTTATTATTGCCTTCCAAATTTCCAGCTATATCTTTTATGGATTATATTACCAGTACTTTTTCAAATAATTTTAATTATTATGGTTTGTTACAGTTGGCTCTTTCTCCAGTGGGCTTTTCGGTCATTTAAAATGCTAATACTAAAAAAATAAAATGCTAAGTGATGTTCCCACGCAATACTACCGTGAGAATTTTCTCCCGCTGCAAAATTAATAATTATAATAAACAACCGTATGTATTTCTGTAGCCCACGAAAAAGGGAACCGTTAAGCGTACGATTTAAGAGCCAGTTGTTAAAGGCTGAACAGGTAAAGCTGACAATCTACCAAATAAAATTTAATGATGTGTGGTTTCGCCGGCATTTCTTGCTGCGGTACACACTGAAATAATAATCTGAGTGACCCAGATTGCCAGGCCTGGGCCATCGCGACAAAAAAGAAAGTTTGCGGAAACGTCAACCCTGCGCAGCTTATTGGATGCAGCGGCCAGCTAGTGGTCAGCTGCGGTAATGCTGTTTCCGAGAGAAAAAACAGAAAGCAGACAGATTACACCGAAACAGGTCACGCTGCACTCAGCACAGCATCGCTCTCGCGCCTGATGGACGGGTCGATCGATTGCGCCATCGCGGTTGCATAACCACGCGCTGTGAGTCGCATCGCCCACCCACCGTAGTTCTTTAGCCGGGTGAACTGGCAAATGACGAATATCAGTTCTCTGCATTTTAAAAATTTATTTCTGGTAATTTTTGTTTTGACGCTTATTTTTCCAACAACAGCACAAAACGGCGATACGAATTTTGGTCCATCTGAGAAAACATTTCGTAATGAATAATAATATCAGAATCCCGACAAAGAGCTGTTTATAACTTCTTTTCGTACAAACATTACTTTAGATCACCGAATTTCTTCGTTTGGAAATTAGATAAAAATACCAAAAATAATTTACGATAGAACGAAAACTAGGAAACGCGTAAATGGGGCCGAAAACAACATTACGGAAATATTGGTCTTGAAGCATGATTATAACTGTCGGCATCGGACAGAGAAAGCATGTCGAGTATGAATTGCGTTCAGCGTGACGCGAAGGAGTTATTGATTTACTGACGATTAGCTAATAAAATTATGCATGCGCAATGCGGAGCGGCATTTAGCTCGGCTAATCGGCGTTTGGTTTATAAATGGCAGTCGTCCGTCCACCTTGACCGATAATTACAGAAACATCCACAACCGGAAAAACGGGGAAATAAATTCGAATTTGGGAATGATAACTAGCTGGCGAATTAATTAGGGAAGGCTTGCATATTTCCAGTGAAACGGTGAAACCCGAGACAAAATCCGCAGTGCAACCATGGTCAAGATAAAAAGAAAATACGGTAAGTATTTGCCGGCATTGAATTATGCACGCATTGGGAGCAGCGAAATGGGTCAGCAGGATGCGACTGCGCGAATTAATTTGTTGACGACAGCTCACTTTCCGCAAACCACTTTACTGCCTTTCAATGTCAACGATTTCGCTTTTTCACTAATACTAGTATCGTAGGAAATTAGAAATGACATCAAGGGGAAAAGTATTAATATGCAATTTAAAAAAATCGCTGTGTGAATAAAAATTCTTTAAAAAATAGAATGAAGTTGCAGAAAGATAATGTTGTGTGTGGCTTACCGGTGTGTAAGTGAATTCCATAATAAAACGGTTAGTCAGACAATTAATCCCGACATCCAGTCATAACCCAAACAACTCCGAAAAAAATAATTATTAACGTAACGTGTAAATCCGCAAAAAAATCCCGATTATAACTCTGGTTATAACATCACTGAATCATCATACGCACAGCTGATGAAATGGACTCAACGCCGGTTTTGTAACGCTACTGCGCCACACTGCCCATTGGCTAACCCGGATATGGCGCGTCTTGAGAAGACTGGTCTGGGACGACTGTCTAAACGCCGCAATACTGGTAACAAATTAGTTCAGAAAGAAAGTTTGCACACTGAATTTCAGGAAAACGCTTGCATGCACTGTACATACAGCGTTACCTGAGACAGTGAGACCACGACCTACATATGATCGACATTACGCGACGGCTCTCTCTTATTGTTCGCTTTTTATGGCCGCAACGAAGTGCGCAGCTGTGTGTGTATGTACACAGTACAGTATATAATAGACCAGATGCGCATAGGCGCTTCGGGGACTTACTTACATCGAATTTCACCATGCACCTACATACAAAGTAAGCAAAACCGCGCCCTTTTGCACGGCTTCCGTGTAAGTCTGTACGTGTAAAACCACACCGTGTGCGCACTACATGGCCACCGCACTTACATACAGACCGCACATATAATTAAACCGGAAGTAGAGTACTGTACTGTACTTTAGATACGATAATTAAAGTCGAGAAATTATTATTAATTATACATACTGTAAAGCAATATCAATGCATCAGCTGATAAACAAAAAATAAAACACAACAACACAAAATAAAAAAAATGTACGGAAACAAAATAAAATATGAAATTTATTTGCACCTGCAACACAAAACTGCGAAAATTGATGCAGCTGGGTAGCCAGCAAGCGAGTATGCTACAAACGTAGCGTGGAATGCAGGGTGATGTTAAAAATTTGAATACCACAAAAATATTAAAATAATAAACAATAAAGGTGCTAGCACGTTCAAACAAGCTCAATGCGGGAACGCGCTGTATTACAAACTGAAATTCCACAACAAATTTACGTTACTGTTCTACTGCAACGTACACTTCCACGATAAACAACCAAATTAAAACTAACCCAGTTTATATCGTTTATGTCAATAAGTTATTTAAAACGAAAATTATCACATACCAGACGCGTGCTATCCAGCATTATGGGTAGCAGCGCTACCGAAGAACAAGCTCAGAGCGCAGTCAACATATCCACCAGCTGGGTAGCCAGCAAGCAGGGTTCCCTGCGATGCAATGGTAGCAGCAAATAACAAGAACATTACAGATTTTAAAAGAAAGCCCAGATGCATATTTGCACGCCACTGGGTCTTTCTCTGTCCATCTGCAATGCACTTGGCAGTATTATAAGTGCTGTCACGGGTAATTTGGCATCAAGTCACGGCAGTTGGACAAACCCAACTCACTTAAGAAAGCAGGAGCCACACGCAGGGTTTATTTGTCCGACTACAACTGGAATCCCAGAAAAGCAGGCTTCCCTGCTGCATGAACCCAGTACAGAATAGAAACTTTTCAATTTTCCACAGTAGTAGTTTAGGCTAATAAATTTGGAAAATCAACTTAGAAAAAGCCCGTTGTTCTACTGCCATGATTCTTGACGTTTAGTCAAAGTATGGGAAAACGACCACGTGGTTTCGAATTTTGCCATTGGCGGTGGGCAGCCTCGATCTAACTCAAAATGCTGACCCACCAATCAAGATCGCAGAAACGCGAAGTTTGTAAGTAGCTGGGCGTCGCTTAGACCCGTTACAAGGTACGCCCATGTTGGTAATGGTTTTCGTCGACGCTCACCGACAGACATCGAGCAAAAAGCGACTTACATCGAAGCCCAGCCAATTGGGACTTGGGACGCCTATTTCTTGCTTCGGTGTAAGTCGCAGATGCTCGATGTAAGTCCGCGTTTTGACTCTGCGCATCCTCTGGAATATGTGCACTGAAAACTGCCGTGTACCTCATAATATACGACTCAATTATTACATGCATTCACCCTATTTGTGTACATACATGCACAGACGTTGTGTACACACCCGAACCGCCGTCTCGCACTGCTCTCTGTTATTGCTTGGACAAATTAATTGTACATTTAACTGACCCTTCCACCTGCGGCGACGTACGGCATTTCAGCAGTAAGCAGTCCAGTGCTGGCGTGTGCTTCGTCGCCGCATCAAAACAGCGGTATTCTTAAGAAATAAAAACAACAAGACGACGCTGGGAATTATCTGGTGTTACAGTATATTTTGTTGTAACCGCCAGCAGAAAGAAAACACGAACACGAGTAGGTGTGAGATCGCAGATAACGAAACTTAAAAGAGCATTTCTAAACCGTTTTAATAGCCAATTTACTGTGCATAAGTATGTATGTGCTGTTTGTGCTGGTGCGTGTTCGTATTATGTTTTTTACTTGAGACGTGCCGGTGTTCTTTAATCCATTTGCCCCCCCCCCCTCCCACAGGACCACAGCCAACAGAGCTGGATGAGGAATTACAAGGGTTCTCTAATATCGTTGCGGGTAATCGAAAAGAAGACGAATCAAAGGCAAGGACCTGCCTGGCTAGACACCTAAATAAATGAATTTGTCGAGCGCCTTGTCAAGCGAATACTGTATAAAATGAAAATAATGTGATGACTAGCTACCGACTGACCAGTAAATTCTCAACTTAAAAAAGCGCAGATGGACAACCTCTTTTGTTTTATTCTAATCAGAATCTACTACGTGACAAACAACCGCAAAAACAGACACCAAAAACGTACTACAAACCCAGCATTTGAAAATGCAGTATACAAAGGAACGCAAACGTTGTAGGCAAAGGTGATGTTCTCAACAGCGCCGGCAGAAACAACGCCCGGGATTGCCCCGACAGGAGGCCTGTCCGCCGCCACGCTCGGCGCAGTATGCACTGCACTCGGCGTCCCGGCCACACCGTGGTCCACCCACACATTGCGTCCGATATGAAAACATCACATCCGTATCGGTCTCTTCGAGTACCGGGTATGCGGTTATCATGGCCGTACACAACACGACAATTAACAGTAGCTTAACATTGTCGCCTAAAACACTGCTGGCCAACATTGTTGCATTAGGATGCGATACAAAAATTAATGTAAATCCACGGACTGGAGTGGCAATCGCGTTAAAACGTGCGGTTACTGCGGTCTGCAAACCTCGCGCACCAAAGATTTAGTCATCTACCAAACCGACTCTGTAACGGTGTTCACTGTTCAGTTTATATTATTGCTCAGTGAAAATGGAAGTTTATACGGCAGCAATGCCGTGCTTTGAGTGACTTTATCGTTCGGAGCATCAAACTGTTGCATATAAGGTTCAAAGGTCATGACTCAAAAGTGTGGTAAGACCGTGTTAAGACCGCTTACTGCCAGCGTAGTGGAGGTTTTCCTTGGTTTCTTAGGGTAAAAACAGCAAGCCAGGTGTTTATACAGACGAATCACGTTTTCCGAATCGAAAATTTAGAACATAAACCCTGACGGCAAGGAAAAATTAGTACTTAATGTTGGTGAGCGTGCTACAGATACATGAGCTTCTGTAATCAACAGCAAAAAAGAAAAACAGCATTATCACCGCGCATTACTACGGGAAGTTGTGATTTACGAACTGGAGACTTTATCATAGTTCATTTCGAACATTCACGAAGTAAACTGAGAAATAAGTAACCTTTCACACACCTTCCGGATTACATAATCAACATTCATGAGAAAAAAGATGAATGGCGAATAAAAAGAGGAAAAAGAGCACGTAACCCCATTAATGATTTTCTACTGAATAAAGCTGTTGAGTTAATGCTTTACAGGCTAATTTCAGGTGAAACGTTGTAGAGTTGCCGTAGGGGATTGGCAAAGCTTAATCAGAATTGGTAGACATTTGCCGAAGGGGTTGCCAAGATTTATCAAAGGAGGCAAGTGTTGTCAGCAACGCTGGCAGAAGCATTTGCCGTGCTGGCCGCGGCAGTATCCCTTTCCGCCGTTAAGCCCAGCACAGAAGGCGCTACAGTCCGCGTCCTGCTGACACGACGGTCCTCCCACACAGTACGCCATCCGAGGTATCCGCGCCGAGGAGACGATCATTACAGTCGCGCAAATCACCGCAGTATACAGTAGTAATATCCCAATGCTACCAGAGACGCAGCTGCCCAACATTATAGCCATAAGCCAAATACAAAATGCCAATCCTGGGACTGGAAAGGCGCAAGTAATAACTCACCTCCGTTTAATGTAATGTCAAAATTCACAAAACTACCACACCTTACATTTACAAACCGTGACTAATGTACGAGTACAGTTCACTGACGCATCATACAGTAAACTGTAAAACGGCATTTTAACCATGGTATGATTGTCCACTCTCGCCGTAATAACCGGGCGGTTTGAGAGTGAGTGAGACACTCAGTACTCAGCAGTAATTTTATCGTGCGAAACATCAGACCAGCGTACACCGGGATCAAAGGTCGTGAGGCACAAGTACGGCACAAGTACATATGTTATCACCTGTCTTTTACTTATTTGAAGCTCTCCTTGATTTCCAGATCGCCAGCCAGTAGCCACCTGCTCATTTAAACTGAAACTGCGGAATCAAACGCTCCAAACGGTGCAGCAAAGTGACGTTGATTGATTTTGTTCATTTAAACACAACAGTTATAGTTCCAAAATTTGACCAGTACAAACACAGTTAACGGTCACAAATCTTCATTACATGTGCGGCTCCATACAGTTGTAGTACGGTATTAAGCTTAATGAAGTCATCCACAAGCAGATTCGCGTGTGAAATTATATTACGATTATAGATGGTTAGACTGACTTAGGAGAGGCGCGCCGGTAACTCGGGTTCCTGGTATTCATTTTATTACCTTGGAATTTAACGCGGATCGTATCATTCATTCATCGCTTGCTTCGGAATCCGTAGCCGTCTCACTGTCTTCTTCCGAATCGGTAGCCGAATCGATGCCCTCGCTTAAGACAGCTGCCGTCAGCGTGGTCAGCTTGCTGGTGTCCAAATCGCTGAGACTAGCCGGTGTCCACGTGCGATCGCGGTAATAAGTGGACAGGCGCAGATCACGACTCTGGTAAGTATTCAATGCCTGAAAAACGGCAACCTAATTAAAGCATATGAATGTTGTCTAAGCGGTTCACCATGTGTGACTACCTGTTCTGACCAGCTCACCATGAGCGTAGCATGACTAGACACGTTTATCGGAAGATGCCAATTCTATTTCTAAACCTGATTTTAGTTTTGGACTTTCGTCCGTTCGTACGGGACCTACTAATAAAGTTAGGCCTGGGATCTGGCCGCACAGTAAACTGGTGTTTCTCGATTCTGGTAATTGTAATCACAGCTTTCTTCGTGACCTTGCATCCTTTTCCAACCTGAACAGCCGTAAGCTCCCTCGAGGCGCTGAGTAAGCAATTCGAGTTGAGATGCTTTAAGAGCATCGTTTTAATATACAGTAAAACCTCTCTATAAATACAGGCACGGTTCCATCAGTTTCGTATGTTATACCCGGGTGTATTATATAAAGGGAAACTGTCCCCTGGTGCGCTGCTATAATTTGGGGTGAGGGGCGTCGCAGTTACACAAACATTTACACAAACAACGTTAATGTTGCCCCATATTCGTTGAGGATGTTAAGATAACATCAGACTGCATCCGGCTACCTGTATGCAGCGGTATTTAACCGGAGCTGAATGTTGTTCAGAGGTTCTCTACACCAGTTAAACTGCATTCGGTTCCGCGGAAAAATGTATGTAAGGCTTATAAAGAGGTGAATGTTATAAAGAGAATCCCCCCTATGTTATAACATGCAAGCCAATTCGGTTCCTTACAGGTTGTATGCTACAGAGAAGTATATTTAATAAGGAAGTGTAGGTAACGAGAGGTTTTACTGCCCTAGTAAATCGATGGGCTCGTCCGATGTGACTTCAGAAATCAGAACCAAGCACTTAAACACCCGGTTCTACAAACTGAACGCCGAGCCACGTTTGTCAATAAATTTTCTTGTTTTTCTGATATTAGTGAACTGCCTGACGCCTGTGTACATGCTCTTAAGAATAAGGGATAACATGAGGGAACGGTTTGTCGGATACTGGGCTTACCTTGACAATCTGTCCTTCCGTCAGCTCACTGGGTTGGCCAGCGATGCAGTCGACAATAGACGCCGCTAGGGCCGACCGGTCCAAGGGTTTTTTTAAGAACCAGGTTCTTCTCGAACAGTTCCCACAATTCCCTGTCCAACTCGTCGCCCGACTGGGCGCGGAAGGTATACTGCGCTACATGTGCCTCGAGAAATCGGTCTCCCATGGTGAAGTACTTCCACATTACTCGGTCACACAGCGCGCACCCGGGGAACGTGTTAGCCACGCTGTACACGACATCCTCCAGGACCTCCCACTCATCATAATATTCGCACTGGTAGAACACCAGCGTCGCTATCTTCTGCGGCGTGAGGATAAACTGGATTAGCTTCGTCAAACTCTCGCGGCGATGGCTCTGGACTGACATGATAATGACCATCTTGGTGCGGCTGTTGAGACATTTCAGCAAGCACTCCACCGCCCAGTAGATACCGTGGTACGCCAGGTTTAGCACACCGAAATCCGGATGGTCGATCCGGACGCGCACGTCGGGGAAGTAGGCTGCGGTGGTGAGAAGGGTGTTCCACACGTGACACACACGCCGACAGCGGATGCGCCCGATGGAATCCAGCGACTGGAAGACTTCCACCAACAACTCCACCGGCAGCGGTGAGGTCTGTTGAAGACGTCCGGAAGTCTTTCGTGGTTTCTTAGCTCCGCTATTCAGCTGACAGAGTAGCAGCTGCGCTTCCCGGGATTCTCCTCTCTGCAACTCTTTCTTCGCATCCACGTAAACGCCTTCCTATTGTCAAATGGAAGCCTGTGTAGATCTGTGATTGATTTTATGGGAATTTTAAACCATACTAAATTCTGGCATTTTTTCAGTTTTGGAAGGGAATTTCAAAATTTCAAAAACATGGAAAAGTTGCGTGGTTACTTCCTAAACTCACATAAAGAGATAACATTTTCACTTGTCTGATTTAGGTTTATTCTGTTTAAATTTGAGTAGTTTTATTTCGTGTCCCTTCGCGGAGGCATTTACTTAAATGTACTGGCTACTGCTGAATAAAAAGTAAATATTGGGTTTCCAAAATTAAAGGTTAATTCACGACTCTAGACAAAAAATATTGCAACTTCCAGTCGTCCTTTCCAGTCGTCCGCCGAGGCCACGCTGCAGCTCAGTATGGCACTACGCCGCGTCACGCCACCACTAGCGACTACTGCAGCAGCAGGAGAAGACCGTCGCGTCGCGCTCCATTGCACAAACTACAACTAACGGCGGCGGAAAATACGGAATTAAAACATAAGAAATTTATCTAATACGATATTAATGGCGTGAACGTGCATGCCGGACTTTTCCCATTTCTACAGAATTCAACTGAATCGTCCGTGAAATGGCATGTTTCAAATTTCAATGAGCTTCTGTGATTGTAAATGTGGTTAAAACAGAACGAGGTTTCATTTCCCACCGGAGAGGCATACAAATACCTCAACGGATTACTATGCGCCGTGTCCTTTTTGGAATGAGAAATTATTCACAGCGAATAGCCAGCCGGAAATTTCTGTTCAACGTGAAATCCTCACGTAACAGCACGTTTAGCAATAATTGTCCAAAACGTTCGAATGCATCTATGTACCTGCTTTACCGCAATTATTATAAGAAAATCACAAGAAAATAATAACATGTACAGTGTAATCCTCTAGAAACGGTGAACTGAGGCGGCGACACAAGTCCGTAACGTTTACAAGCAGGAAACAATCTGAGAAAAATGAAATTACCATAGCAGGAAAGGGAATTAATCGTCTATAGAGGAAACAGTGACACCAGCCAAAAATAACTGATCCACAAGAAGCAAAAACAAACGCTTATCCGCGACACTAAGCAGGAATTCAGCTGCAAAAGAGGATCATACTGTACTCCGCCGGCACAGCATTCCATCTGGGTAAACAGCTGCGCCAGCCAAAGGTCAAGAGAGTCGGCATCCGGCGATTACCCGTCCCACTCATCGGACTGCGGATCGCTGTACACTTTGGCCAGGAAGGCCGCCGTCAGCTTAGTCAGCTTGCGCACATCCACACCGGCCATGGCGTCCAGCCTCCAGTGCCAGTCGCGGTAGTGCGTGGTGGTCGGGCGGGGATCTGCATCCTGGTATTGACCCTACAGGAATGGACACAGTCCTCAGAAGAACGTCAGCAGCCGTCGGATCGGATGATCCGTCGGGCGCCAGCTCAATCTGCAGGGACAATCAACCTACGACCTACCTGCCCCAATATGAAGACGCGCTTCGCACTCAACTGGCAGATCCCCGCGGGAGGGTGGGCCGCAGCGATCATGGCCTGTAGGGCCGGCAAATCCAGCGGCTCCTCCACAACCAGATTGCCCTCGAACACATCCCACAGCTGCATCTCCATCTGCTCGGCCGACTGGCCCTGGACGTCGAATTCGTGATAGGCAATCGCGGCCTGCAGAAACCCGTCAAACAGCCGGCATTCCTTCCACACCACGCGCTGACCCGGGCACTTCCTGACCACGCCAGCCTCCAGCTCCATCATGTCCGGCAGACTCAGTCGGTCGCAGCCGAAAACACAGCCAAAGAAGACCACCAGCGGCAGACGACGGCCGTTCTGCAGTCGGTGCTGCACCGCTTCAAAGAGCTGCGCATAGCCGCCAAGCTGTCGGTTGCTGATGACCAGCGCCTTGGTGCGACGGTGGAGACACTTGAGGATGCAGGCCATCGCCCAGTACATGCTCTCCTCACCGAACACCCCTTGATCCCCGTAATCCTCAATTTCCCCCGACACGCGCACCTCCGGGAAGTGGGCCTCCGTGGTGAGCAGGCCGTTCCACAGTCCGCAGGTACGCCGACAGCGGACGCGCTCGATGGAGTCCAGCGTGCGGAAGACCTCCAGCAGCACTTCCGCCGGCAACTGCAGACACCCGGCCCCGCTATCCACCCCTCGGCGCCGTTTGCGGCCACCGGACCCGCTCCCGCTGCCAACATGATCGGTCATCGCCATCATCGGCTGGGCGCGCACCGCCGGCAAACGGGAAGTGGTGCCACTGCCTTCCGCTGCATTGGTCGCCAGCTGGCATACCTTCTCCTGCAAGAGAACTCATTTAGCTAATAATATTTATGAGAACATGCCGTTCGACTACGCACGCATGACGGACTGTACCAGTTTCTCAGCGTCCAGTTGGTCTTTGTTATAGGCCCTCTGTAGATAAAGCAGAGTCTGCTTCAGTCGAGCGACGAACACTACCCTGTGTCGCTCGCCCAGTTCCCTGTTGAAAACAGTCCCGAGCTGCGGCATTGCAGCTGACCAGAAGGCGGTCGGCAGCGGGCAGCAGCGCTGCACAAACTGGCCTTTCTCCACGCGCCGCTTGTTAAGATGGGCGTCCGTGGGCGGTGCGCGCACCTGCTGAAACGGGAGCAGCTCGTGGACGGTGCCCACGCCCTGCGGCAACTGCAGCTCCACGAACAGCGCATCGTTGTCGTACGACGTGCACACATTGGGGATGACGCTGGCCTCGTACCACAGCCACGGCCCGTCGGTTTGTAACTGCCGCCGCGATAGCACCTGCGCACGCGCTGTCGGGCACTGCACGGGCGCGCGCTCGTACTCGCTGTAGTGGAAAATGTTGCGCTCGTACTCCACAAACTGCGAGCGCTGATTACCACACTGGAAATCAATGAGCAGGCCCTTCTCCACCACGCCGATGACGTTGCCGTGCTGCAGCTGGCCGCCGTCCACCTCGACGTCCACGCCGTTCCACGCGTTGACAGTGTCTCGGTAAATCAGCATGGCGCAGTGAGGATCGACCTCTACGCGGACGCGATACAATTATGTACAGTGTCAGTATGCTTTCCGTATAACCAGTCACCAGACACCCCTGATCAGCCAGTTGCAGTTACCACAGATTCGTTGAACGAGGACTACTGTGTCAACAGTTCAGTTTACAAGGTAAAACCTGACAAGTGAAAAGCGATAAGAAACCAACAAGAAAAGTAAACTGACAATTTCCAGCGAACGACAGACGTCACACTCAGATTTTGTCCTCACACACAGTTAAACTGTTAAAGGCTTATACGGGCCTTAGTATGGCATACAGAATAGAGGGCAGCGCTAACTGCCGCCTCGTGCGGGCTGGACAGCATCTGCACTCTGCAGTGTTCAGCAGCGCAACGCACACTGGATTTCTGCTTTCTTGCGTAACAATTCTCATCGTAAGGATGTTATTTTTCGTCTTGTTACGATCGTGGATTACGACCGTGGACACTGGATAGCGTGGATTGCATGGCTGTATGTATCTGTATGGTCTTGTTTGTGCCGAGTCTGAGCTGTATGGTTTATGATCATATTTGTGCGGGACATTTATGTCTTTATGGTGTTATGCATTTATATGCATGAGTGTTTTGTGACCGATGGTCAAGTAAGTGTGAATGAGAGGAAGGCAGGATGCAGGAGCGGATGCAGTGGTCAGATTGGTGCGTGTGTTTTATAGCTTTGTGGCTGTATGCGATATGAGCGTGTTGTATGCATATTGATGTGGTATATAGTTGATGCAACTGTGGAGACGGCACAGTTGTCGGGAGTGCAGCTGTCATGAAATAAAAGTTAAGCTTTTTCCCTGTGGTGTACGTTGTACGAGGTAGACGTAGGGCTGCAGGGTTTTAAGAGTCTTCGTGCAGGGGATGTATTCGCAGGATAACATTCGGGTGGAAATCAGTACGAAGTGGTTTTTTCTGCTGGACTATAGCTGGCTGCAGCGCCTGTCACTTAGTTTACAACAAAATTTTGAAATTGTCAGATAATACACTAAACAGCCTATCTGGCCGTCAACGAGAACATCCACGGCGTTCCACCCGCACACGGAGTCCTTATCTTCGCCTTAAATCAGCATTTTGCAGATTATGAAATCAGCGTGATCACAATCTAGAGAATTATTGTGGCTGCTGCCCGTAATGCCATCCACCAGCGCGTTAGATGTCTCCCTGTGTTTGATAGTTGATACTGAGAATAAACTGTTTCAGAATAACTTTTGAAAGAGGAGTTTGATCTCCTCATCAACTTCCAGCAAATCTGCGCAAACAGAAGTACTCAACAGACAACAGATACTCACATCTAATCAACTTCCAATAAATCGGAAGAACACATACAGCGTGAAAACTTAAAGTTGCAACTTGCAACCAGAGCTGTGTCCGATATGAATTTTTCGCCTCCGCTACGATGCCGATCCGATAAATCTTACAACTGTTGTGCTAACAAGCCTAACATTATACAACCACTAAAATGCTCTTCTACGGCGACTACGAGGGCGCCGTCCACGCGTGGAACGCCGTGGATGTCCTCGTTGACGGCCAGCTGCAGCACGGCCGCGTCATCAACGTGGCGGCCAAGGGACTGGTCACTGATCATTGATTTCGAATGCGCGTCGCAGCGCGCGCAGCTGGTGGAGTACGGGCGCATCCTCCACTGCACAACGTAGGCTAAGCGTGCGATGACGGACGTGCAGGTGCTACTGCGCCGCCATCCCGACGGCGCCTGGATCTGGTACCCGGGACGCGTTGTTCCAGTTGGATCCTTGCTGTAGGATTATGCGCAATACGTGGAAGTGCAGCTGCCTGGCGGGAACGTCCAGGAGTTGCTGCCCTGGGCAGCTGCGCCCATCGCCCGCGGGTGGGGCGGGCGGGAAGGAGCGTGTGCGCAGGGGGGACTTTATGGTTCGCTCGTGCCCGATGCCCGCGCGCGGTATATCCAACCAGCCACCGCGGATCGTCAAGAAGTTCAAATCGGAGCTGAATTGGGAGTGCGAGGTGCTCTACGTCTCGTTGGTTGGTGATACCCTGACGTATCTCCAGCGGCCGGATGCCAAGCCACTCGACACAGAGCAAGTGGTATGGTAACGCACGCGCTAAATGAATATCCTGCTGAATGAAACGCCGACAATAAAGCGATTGACAGAGCGGCGTTCGCTCTCTTAGAATCGTTCGATAGAATAATTATTTCAGTGCCATTTGTATGCTTTGCCAATATCCTAGTGGTGCCTCTATCGGCCTTGGAGTATAGAGGTTGTGGGTCCGATTCCCACAATCGGCCGATTTTTTGCGAGTGTCTGTGCGAACTGTTTGTTTGTTTATTCAGCTTAACGTCTACAACGATCAGGATAAGTTCCTGCATTAGGTGGTAGACTACCGTAAACCAAGATAAGATCGAGACTTCGCAAAGTAAAACAAATATTCAAATTCCAATTTTACAACAATTTATGGTGATCAATATGCAAAAAACGTTTAGTCCAATTTAGATCCTTCCATTTGAGGGAATCCAGAGAGGTTTGGAAATAGCCGATTGTCCTGTATGCGTCCTTGGGTAACTTTATTTCGTTCCACAAACTGGCTGCCAAGAAGGAATAACTCCGCTCACTTAGAAATATCCGTCCGTTAGATGATTCCGTTCCAGTAGGCTCCACTGCGTAGGGATGCTCGTCCAAGGCCGTTACCTGTCTCGTTCTACCTGCAACACAATCAGCAGCAGAACACTTCTCGCGAAATTTGAAAAATCTATTTCCATAAGGAACCAGACCAAACAACAATTTGTACATTAGCAATAACAATTTTCGAATTCGACAGAACAACAGCGATTTGTACCCTGCTTTCTCAAGTGTTTCTGTGTATTCGAAAGAACGCGGTCCGAATCGAATAGTTTTTAAAAACCTTTCCTGACAGTTTCTATTGCGTCAACTAACAACTTTTGCTGGTAAAATGTAACAGTACTGCCATATTCAGTTATCGGTCTTACTACTGAATCATACAGTCTTCTTCGTGCTGCACTATTCTGAAACGGAAAAAGCGCGTTTAAATACCGTATTCGTTTTTTCATGCGACTGGCTAAATTGTAGCAATGAGACTGCCAACTAAGATGGCGGTCAATGTGAAGACCGAGATATTTGGTCTCCTCAGCTACCGGTATACTTTCATTGTTTAAAAAATATAAACTGTCCTGCAGTTTGACACGTTTCTTCGTAAAACGAACATGAACAGATTTCTTTGGGTGAAAAGTCAGTAGGTTGGTTTTTGCAAACTGGGAAATTTTATTCAGCGCTAACTGAAAGTCTTCTTCGTCAGCTACACACTCAACTTTTCGTAATACACAAACATCGTCAGCAAACACAAATAATTCGCAATCAGTCGGCAAATCACCGATATCGTTCATGAGGCATAAAAACTTTTGTGGTCCCACAATTGAGCCTTGTGGAACACCACTTGTAACATTTCTGAATGAAGATATCTTTCCATCAACAATAACTGCCTGTGAACGTCCCCTCAAATAGTCACTGAGAAGTTCGACTAACTGGCAGTTAACATTCATCTTACGTAACTTAGAAATTACGGTGTTGTGATCAGCTTTGTCGAAAGCATTGGTGCAGTCTAAGAAAACGCAGTCTACATCTACACCATTATCAATAAAATCCATAACCTTTTGCACAAAAATCTGACACAAAAGTTCTGGGGAGTGACCTTTACGGTAACCAAACTGATAATCGGAAATAAGTCTATTGTTGTTTAAGTACACAGTTAATCGGTTATTAAGAATTCTTTCGAATAGTTTAGAAACTGGATGGAGATTAGCAACTGGTCTCCAACTTTTTGGAATCGTCAAGTCGCAAGACTGTTTAGGAACCGGTGTTACATAGGATACTTTCCATGAGACTGGATATTTTCGTTCAGACAGACAAGAGTTAAATAAAATTTTTAATGGCGCTATCAACGCGGCACCACAGGTTGTAATTAGCTCATTGGTAAACACGAACGGCCCAGAACTTTTTGTCGTATTTACTGTCTTAATTACACCCCAAATATCAGCTTCGTTTACAAAATTCTCTTCGTCAACAGGCAAACTTTCAATCTGTTCATCTTCTAAACAATGTATTGGACACGGAACTAGTGCGTCTGAATAATGGGAATTCAGAGCTTCAGCTTTTTCTTCGTTGGTGAATGCAATGAGGTCACCACAACGTAGTGTTGGTATGCCCTCCCGGTCAACACACTTACGAACGTACGACCAAAATTTTTTCGGATTTGAACGAGATGCAGTTGCTACATCCTGAAGACTACGATTCATGTAATTCTTGATGATTTTATCGCACTGGCGGGAGTAACATTTCCAGGTTGAACGTAGTTTGGCTTTTCTATCATTACTGATCTCCTTAACGAATTTTTTGTGGGCGGTATCTCTCTTTCTTATTAATCGTTTTACGGACACGGGAAAGGTCACGGAAAACACTTTTGGTTTGAGCTTGCTTCTTTTAAAAAACTGCAGCGCTAATGTAACAATCTGGTTTTCGATACAAACGGCTATCTCCGAACAGTTTTTGTTTTTCAGTGCTGAAGCCCAGTCAATCTGGTAAAGCGAATTTCGGAACGGGATAACGTTTTCTTTTAAAAATTTCCACACAACCTTTCTGTTCCTATCCTGAAAATTGTTCTTAGGGAGAAATAGTGAAAATGATATCCCCTGATGATCGTTAGTACTTGCTGGTGGGCTAACAGCTTTGATACCTTCGATAAACCATCGGGTAGGAACAATAACTAGGTCCAAGATATTTTCGTTCCGAGTTGGAAACGTAACAATTTGCTTGAGATTAAATTCTTTTAACGATTTGAGCAAAAGTTTTCCATGCAACGTACTGGAGGTAAAACTTTCCCAATCAACGTCTGGACAGTTGAAATCACCCATTAAGCAAAATCGCTCGAGATCAATTTCAGAGAATGTCACACTGATATGCTCTAAAAATTTTGGTAGAATAGTAGCGATTACATCCGGCGCTCCATAAAACACGCCCACCAAACATCACGTGACGTTTACATGACGTTTACATCTTTAATTTCAACAGCAATGAATTCATAATCTTTACTTTCGAGATCAAAACGCCGCTTCCCTGTCAAAGTCTTTTTTAATAAAATAGCGACACCGCCACATTTTTTCCCGACCCTTGCGCGGCGAAAAACCTTAAAAGATCTCCCATCCCGAAACAGACTGTCTGGCATATCAGGTTTATCAAATGTTTCCGTTAGTCCTACAACGTCTTGATTTGCTGAAAAAAGTTTTACTTGGGCTGATTTCTTTTTAATACCATTAATATTACGCAGCTTTACTGCTAGTTTTAACGAACTGCCTTTTCTTTGTCGTTTTTTGTTGAGCTTCTTTGTCGTTTTAGATTTCATTTTTCCGAGTTTAAAACATTTTCACCTGCGGACGCAGTTGGCTTCTGAAAGTATCTCCACAGCTTAACTGAGATATTGCTCGGCCAGATATCTGCGTTCAAGATCAGATTCTCACAGTCTGAGAATGTACCGACACGCGCAAATGTACTGCGGCGCAAATCTTTTTCCCCCCTTGCTCTTACATCCACAAACCGCACCCGTATGTTCCTGCTTTCCAGAAATGATTTTAGTGAATCCACAGTACAGTCTCTGGGTAAACCACGTATACAGTAGTCTCTGTGTGGAACTGTATTTAGAGTCAAAGCTTTAGCAAGTGGGTCATCGCTGTTGTTACTGCCCGAGCCTCTTACGGTATTTGACCATTGTTTCTTCGAATTTTCCGATTTATTCGATACGCTCACCTTTGGTTCATTCCGGACGTTGGCGTTCCAAAATTCGCGTCCACTATGAGTCGCATGTGCATAGCTCCGCTTCGTGTAAGCCGGTTGCGCCGATTTCTTAGTCCAGCCACTGTATCCGGGTTCGCCGCCATATTGGATTTCCATCACATCTGTTTCTTCGGCAAGTAGTCCTCTCGCGTCTTTCAGTTCTTTGATGTCTTCTTGCAGTTTACCTTGAGATTCACGCAGCGTCATGATATCTTTGTCCATGGCGCCAACCGATTCTTTCATTTCCACGTCAACCTCTTGGACTCGTTCACGTACAGCTGCGTCAGACTGAAGGAGCTCCGCATCACCATCCGCGCGCACCTGCCGCTCTTCGTTCAGTTCTTGTGTCAGTTTGGCGTTCTCCTCTTCCAGCGTTTTTACTCTTTCGGATAGTTCCACACATTCCATGGCTACATGTCGAATTGCAGGGATAATAACAGCAAACACTCCACTATTACCACTAGTTGGTTTGTACCATGGCAAGCGATCATAATTTTCCAATTTAGCAAGCAAATCGGCCAAGGACTCCCGCGGTGCTGGAGATTTTGGCGAAGATTTCGCTGCTGAATTTGGCATCTTCACGGTTCACAAAATCATCCACAATATTCGGTATTCGACTTACGTGCAACAAGACACGTGCAATATTCGGTATTCGACTTATTATTCGACTCCACAATATTCAGTGGAACTGCGAACCTAACCCAGCCCTGACACTGATAATCGTTAGTTTTGTAGGAGCACATTTGCAAACTAGCGAGATCGAGAAAAAAGACTACATGGTGGTCGCTGCCGATGCCCCGCCCCGCAGCGGTCAGCACCGGAGCAAAGCCCGGTAAAAAGCGCAAGATGGCCGACCGGAAGGGAGAGGCTTACCGCTGCCGGTTGAGCTGCTCGTGGAGGTCTTCCAAGCTCTCGATTCCATTGGTCGCGTTCGTTGTCGACGTGTCTGCGCATTATGGAACACCCTGCTGACCACGGAAGCCCACTTCCCCGATGTCCGCGTATCCGCTGATGAAAACGTCGGTTACGGAGCGGCGCATTTCGCGGAGGACGATCTGTACTGGGTGGTGGCGTGCCTGTTGAAATGTTTGAACGACCGCAGCAGGATGCTGGTCCTGCACACGCCAGTTGGTCGCTTCGATCAGTCACGTTCGTCGCGGGCGACGCCTGCCGGCGCTGGTGTTGCACAACTGCGATGTGAGCGAACCCTTTGACGGCGTCCAGGAGCTGACCCAGTCCGTGGCTGATCTGGCCGTGGATTATCGGTGCGAGAGCATGGTGTGGGTGAAATGCCGCTTCTCCGTCATCACGCTGAAGGCGCCGGTCCCGCAGCACGTCTTCAGCGGCCAGTCGAAGGAGCAGATGCAGGTGGCGCTGTGGGAGCTGCTGGAGAGCAACCTGGTTCTGGAGAAGCCGCTGGACCGGCCGGGCATCGCCCGCTGGATCGCTGACTGCGTCGCACAGGAGCTCAGCTATGACGTTCCGATCATTGTAAAGGTGCATTTCTCCATTTCAGTTAAATTATCCGTAGATTAGTCAGAACACACAGTGACCGTGGGGCTCCTTTAGGGTCTGCAAGATTACCAGAGTGCGGATCCGCGTCCCTCCACGCGCTACCGCGGTCGCCAGTGGAACGAGTCCGATCTCGCCCAGCTGGACGTCGCGACGCTGACCACGTTGACCGTGGCGTTTTTGCAGGCAGAGATGGATGAGTCGGACTGGATGAGAGATGGATGAGGTGGATGAGGTCCGGTAATTTCGGACTGGGACGAATAGCTTTGATATACTGCACAACGTCTTCCCGGCGTTTCCGTTTCTGGTGGGCCCTGTTTTTTTACTAATGCTTTTGGCCGCAATGGACGCATTAAGATCACTTTGACTAATGTTCCTCTAAATTTGCGTCTGAGCTCAGATGCTAAGAAATTGTAATAATAATCATTTTCTTGAGTTATTCAGTTTCTGTAAATGTGTTACGGTTGCTTACATTTTAACTGTTTCCGCAAGGAACCAGTTCGACAAACTGCAGCGGTTCATAAATTATTAATAAAATTAATCCGAATGATTTCCGGCCTCGGCGAGCCTCGGTGGTACACTCCAGTCTCCAGAAGGAAGCATGGTAACGCGAATACAGGCATAAGTTTTTTATAAACTAAGGCGGTAAACAAATCAGAATTCCACAAAAGATCGGTAATAAATCACAAAACCTTGCTAATTTCGAGCCTGTGTGGACGTTGCTGCCACCGAAAGCGGCGTGTGAGCAGAGAAGCGGCTCACGTGCAGCGATAAAGTCTTTCAAAGGATTTCAACGTATTGCGCCGTGGTGCAGTGGTGTTGCCTACGCGGATCTAAGGACGTAGCCGGGGTTCGATTCCCATCGGCGCCTTTTTCAGCCGTTTCTCGGTTTCCAGTGGATAGCGCCCTGGTTTTAGCGCTTACTTTAACGAAGCTCTCGCACACTTCAGATTTTCGCATCGTACTCGGTTTTCCATTAGATTCGTCATTTTATGTCAGCTCATAGATTTTGTCAACCGGAAGACCTCCGCCAGGTGCTCAATCGGCAGCGGCAGACTTGTATTAGTACCGTTTGCAGTCTTTCGCGGTTTCTTAGCGGCAGTATTCCGCCGAACCGGACAACTCCCGGGTTACTGTGTATGCGCTGAGCGCTCTCCGCTTATCACGTCTCGCTATCGCTCACTGCTTACTGATGCATCACAACACATCCTCTTTTGCGGTTGCAAGTGTTGCGCAGTTGAATGAAGAACTGGCGTTATCCTGTTATAACCGGCTGCTGTGCGGAGGACAGTTAACGAAGTACCGATTACTCTAATCACGCTCACGGTAAGTCCCTGATTGAATTTGATTTACTCACAAGCGTAGGGTGGTTCATAACTGTTGTTACTGTGAATGATCGCTGTTTCATAATGACAAAGCAAGGTTACATTAAATTCAGTTACTGGAAAAGAAACTGACCTTTCTCACGCCGAGTAGTCCTGACGAAACACGGGTAACCCTCGCCCTACTGCCTAGTACGCGTAGTCCCGCAACCAAGTGTACCACGGCGACCTTTTACGCAACCCCTTCGCGATGGATTTGACGATCGGATCGCTCTTGTACAAAGACGAATGAGCAGCGATCGGTGCATTGGCGAACACCTTGTGGTAAACGGTCCAAATTTCACTGATCAAGTATTACTGTTTTCTGATGTCGGAATACTTAATTGTCGCCGATTCGTTGTTGCTCAGTATTTATTAGCTTCAATAAACCAAATAGTGAACTGTATCATATCATACTCCGGCATATTAGTCCAATCGCACAACTGACAAATCACAATGCAGATGTAGAAAATGATACCATAATCATTGTTATACTAATGTCAAGCAGACCGACAAACATGCTGCAACTTAATTACTGATGCCATTCAAGGAGTGGAGCTCGTCAAACAGAACGAATGCAACGCTCTCATTGTACGCGGCAATTCAAAACCCAGGAGAAATGCGATCAATTTGGTGATATTTAGTTACGCTACAGCAATTACTAGATGAATGATGACGACCTGCGTCAACGAAATGTCCGTCTAAACCATAACTTCTCCAATGGTGACAAAAACTTCTAGGCCCACTGGATTCTCGCCTCCACATACGGATAAAAGAACAGAGCGTCCCCATGAGTCACTACAACTGCAAAAGCTCCAATCATAATGCACTGGCTAATACAATTCACAGCTGCGCTTCTATGCAATGGTTCAGTCTGTATCTACTTACCGGACAACTTATCTGGAGTTGGCTCAATCGTCACTGTCTGACTCAGTTTTGAAATCAGAGCATTTGGTCAAGGCCTCTGCCGTCAGCGGGGTCAGTTTGCTGGGATCCAGATCGCGCAGCGTAGCCGTCGTCCAGGTGCGACCGCGGTAATGGGTGGACGGGCGCGGGTCCTCACTTTGGAATGAATTCAGGACCTGCAAAACGAGAACCGTCACTACTCGGTCATCATCTCTTGAACAAACCGCCTGATACTACATGTAAACAGAAATGGAAACCCAAAGCAATCACAAAGTGCAGCTGCTTTAACTCAAAAGTGAGAAACAACGAGCTTGCCTCCACCATCTTGTCTTTCATCTCCTCGTTGCGTTCGCCAGTTATGCGGTCCGAAATCCATTCTGTTACATCCGAACTCAATGTCATCATGCAACCGTTGTTGGCCTCAAAAGAATCCCACAGCAGCCTCTTCAGCTCGTCGCCCTGTCGGACGCTTGAGGAATACAGCGAGAAATGCGCCGCTACAAAGTTAGTGTCGATTACGCAGTCCTTCCACACGAATCTCTCACACACTGAACACTCTACCAACTCCTCAACAATCCCGTTCACGATATCCCCTACTGAGTCGTCGTCCCTCCACCAGCACTGGTAAAACACCAGCGTCGGTACGGTGTCCGGTGCCAGGATACTGGCGATCAGTTGGGCCAAACTGTCGAAACAATCATCGCAGCGCATTATAATGACCATCTTGGTGCGACGGCTGAGACACTTGAGCAAGCACAACGCCGCCCCGTAGATGCCACGGGAAGCCCAGTTCAGCATGCCATAATCCGGATGGCCGATGGAGACGCGCACATCAGGAAAGTTGGCTTCGATGGCGAGAATACGGTCCCACAGTGAGCACACCCGGTGACAGCGGATGCGCTCGATGGAGTCCAGCGACTGGAAGACCTCTACCAACAGCTCCACCGGCAGCGGCAGGCTCCTGTTCCTATTACCAGAAACCTTGCGCGGCTTTGTAGCTTCTCTTTCCCACTGAAGCTGCAGTAACTTTACGTCGAAGGAGGTTCCGTAAGCCACCGCCATCTTCGCATCGTAGTACATGCTTTCCTACATAGAAATTAATAATTTCGAATCTCTCATATTTGCGACCAGACTAGTAAACACCGATGAATGTACCACCAAACTGAAAAATTTTTGGATATTTTTTAATATCTTAGCGGATTCAACGAGCTTGGAAATGCTAATAATTTAACAAATTTATGTCTTGTCTAAAAGTCTGTAATGTTTGTGAAAAATAATGTGAAACGGCAACTTACCACTTGTTCAGAAGTCAATGGACTGTCAGTTGCGCGCTGCAAATAGAGGACGGTCTGGCTCAGCAGGGAGGTACACCACACTTTGTAATGTTGGCTCAGCTTGCGTTTGAATATCTCTCCGAGAAGCTGAGAACCACGGAGCCAGTAGGCGGCCGGCAAGGAACACGAGCGGACCACGAAGGCACCCTTCGGTACGCAGTGCCATTTCAAATTCGTTGGCGAGGGCGCTGCGCGTATTTGACCGACGGGGACCAGCTGCCGGACGGTGCCTTCCGTCAACTGTATTTCCATCAGTTCCGCGTCCGCGCATTTGAATCGTCCGTGAACTGGAGTTCGAGCAGGATACCAGATCCAGGCGCCATCCGGATAACGGCGCAGAACTACCTGCAGATCCTCCTTTTCTGCTTCGATCTTGCGTGGCATGAAGGGGCACAGAAAAGTCCGTGTATATTCGATAAACCGAGCACGCTGATTAGCACAGTGAAAGTCGATTATCAGACCACCTTCCACCACGTTGATGATGTCACCGTGCTGAAGTAACTCATCATCGCCGCGAACGTCAACAGCATTCCAACGAAGCACATCGCCGTAAACAGGCATCGCGCAATTCTATAGCTGAGAGCAGATTCTTTGCTTCGGATATCCGTCCTCAAGGAGATTTATCTTGCGACGTTCAGTCGAATCAGTAGTCCAAACGAAATTTTGGATAGAAGTAGCATTCAGTAGACTCCTAGGGAGGTTTTGACGAACGAATTCGTCGACGTTTTGCTTCTCAAAAGTCATTAGAGACTGCAGGCTTACTTAGCCTGGCTTTACTGAAGCCAAAGTAAGGGCCTGACTGATTCCGCGTGCGAGCTGAGTCAGTGGGTGACTAACTGGTTTCACTCTGTTGAGTAAGTAGTATACGGACAACACACCCGCATTTCCCAGTACAGTGTGCGATGACGATCACTGTGCCGTCTACAGAGTCTGCACTTCTGCAGGCTCAGAGTCTCAGACTCAGCGCTTCAGCGTAGGCCGAGTTTCGCGTGCCTTTGAATCCCGCTCGTTAGGAAATCTGTAATTAATTTTCAAGGTACTCATTTGTAGAAAGTTACCATAAGTAAGTCATCCATCTTGTTAACATCTGAGACTTTGTGCAAAAGCCCCTGTCTGAGGCAGCAGACAAACTGTGTCAGAGCGGTAAAGCTGAATGTGACGTGCCAAAGAGAATTGCGCGATGCCTGTGTACAGCGATGGGGAAATCGGGGATGATGAGGTCTCCAGCTGGAACGGCGTGGATGTCTTCGTCGACAATGGACAGCTGCAGCACGGCGACGTCGTTAACGTAGCGGAGGGCGGTCTGATCATTGACTTTCGCTGCGCCAATCAACATGCACAGTTTGTCGAACATGCACGCACTTTTCTCTAGTCCCCCAAGACCCAGAACTGGGAGAAGAAGGAATTGCAGGTCCTACTGCGCCGTTATCCGGACGGCGCCTGGATCTGGTATCCCGCACGGACTCCCTCTCACGGACGATTCCAGTGTGAGGACGCTGTACTGAAGGAAGTACACTTGGCGGAGGGCGTCGTCCGCCAGCTGATCCCCGGAACCCAAATCCGCGCGGCGCCCTCCAAGACGGATCTCCAGAAGCACCGCGTGCCGAAGGGAACCTTTGTAGTCCGCTCTTGCCCGTTGCCAAGCGCCTACTGGGCCGACGGTTCCCAGCTGCTCGGGCAGTACTTCCAGGCTCCAGCACCGACTCAACCGACGATACGACGTGGTGTGCACCTCCCTGCTCAGCCAGACAGTTCCCTACCTGCAGCGGGCTACAGCCCGTCCATTGGCAGCAGCGCAAGTGGTAAATGATTTGCATGCTCGTCAACTCAACCTTGTCACGACGGAAAGATGGCGGTAATATCTTTATCATTAACCCGCCGTTGACGGCGCACAAAATCAGCGGATCGTTGTCAACAGGACAACAACCGCAGGCATGTTAGATGGGCGACTCACAGAGGTCATGAAAGGACAACACGTTCTCGTGACATCAGTGCAACTGGCCAACTGCACTATCCTACACTAGCCTTGCTGTTGTTTTCTGTTTTTTTTTTCTCAAAATCTCACGAATCGATCAGGTTCAAGTGGCAATATTCCGCTTCACAGTAGTTGTAATCAGACCTGGGTAAACATTCAGCTGATGTTTTGGCTGAAGTAGGGCACAACGCTCTCTTGCGCGCCCGTGAAAGATATCGCGAGTTAGTCACCACAACCTTCTCAAGCCGAAAGCTAACGGCTGCGCTTATTGGTCCGCTACGTGATCCACAGATGACGCAGCTTCGAAGCTGCGTTTTCTATTTCACATACACTTTCACCTCCGTTGTTGAGCATAGTCAACAGAACTTTAACATTACACAGTGGTCACCCGTAATAACATGATGAAGCCATGAAGTGCTTTAATTTTATTAGCTAATTTGCCAATAAAAATTAATGTGATTGAGTATTAATCTGCGTCAGGGATGTAGCCCCATCAGCTCAAAATTTGCTATTAGAGTATTAGTACTAGGATAGACTAATTGCTGATTTAGTAATTACGATTATTAATTATACTAATTACTGTTAATGATTATTCTTAGGAATTAGGATTACTATTAGTAAATATAAATTATATAAACAGTATTGTTTAGTTTGCGTTACTGCGTAATTACGATCCCGGATCTAGGCAACCGAACTGGAACGGCAACAGGAATGCGAGGTGGAATCCATCGCATCATCCAAGTGCAGGAAATACTGGTGTGAACCATACGAACCGTAGTAGCAAGGTTATCCAGATTCAAAGTGTAAGGCGCCATACGAAGGATTAAACCATTGCGTAGTCGGCTCGAATAACGGTGAAACATTGTACGATACTGTGTATTGTCGGGACAGGACGTACTGGGCAGGGTGTAAAACCTGGCAGTGGTACCTGCCAATGGCACTGCCAGTGGCATGGCATGCGATAAAAACTGGAGACTCTGGCAAGTGGCAAGCGATAAAAGCTGGCAGATGCCACAAACAATATGGCGGTAGAAACAGCCAGACGTAACCTCGAAGCCGTTGCTGTTGGTGCACTGAACTTTATCGCAACTTTCAAGTCGGACCACATGTACGGCGGCCTGCAAGTGCAGTCTGGTAACAAAGGTCACTCGTACCAGACGTTGTCCAGAAGCCAAACACGGGGTACCGGTCATGAGCTTAACAATAATGAAATCACTTCAGAGCTCTAAGGTAGGCATAGCTCAAATTTTACTGAAGTTTCTTTACCTACTCAGAGTAGTGCTATTTTTCTGTTGCACGCAAACAGCACAACAGGATGTCTGGTGAAAATTTGCAACAAAAACTATAAAATTTATAATTTTTTGTTGCAGATTTTTTAATAACTAAATATTTCAGTACACAGTTAGTTACATTTACAGAAACAACCGAAACAGAAACAACAACAACGAAACAGATAGATAAAATACAAGATACATTGCATACTTCTATAGCGCACTGACACCCATATCCTCAATAATTCAAACTTACACATACACCCGCCAAGACAGCAACATCCCGCCAGATACCTCATAAGAATTTTGCTACAATCCACAGAGCAATAAATAATGGTAGTTGATCTTTAGTACGTCTTCACAATCAGCTCCATTACAAAGTGCTACCCGGTGACTTTCGCAGGTGTCAAGATTGCTGCGGCATCCATACCGAAATTAGAACTGCTTGTGCATAATCAAATACTACTAAAAACTACCAATACTACTACGTAGTAACTATTCAGATCAGTTACTACTAATGTCGAATAACTAACACCTTTTCGTACAGTGGGTTATATGCAAATCGGATAAGGCTCACTTTACGAAATAGTGCCAAGTTGACACGACGACACAGTAACCATAACACACTAACGCTGCTTCCTAATTCGGCTGCGCTGCGCGAAGCTTTTTTGTATCAGGTACGGCTAATATCATATTATTTATACAAATTCTGTGTACAAACGAAACAATTAGCTAGGATACTATAATAAAATAACATAATTTCGTATTTCCGCAAAACCTGGAAATACGTAAACATACCCAAACGTCAGTTCATAATTCGCCGTCTGTGAGCGGTAAACCGCTTTAAAGGTAACACATTAAAGTATACAGCACGCTACAACATACTGCAACGATGCAATCATATATTAGCATTTAGCGTTAAAGTGAGAGAACTGCCGTTTAGGATTTCAGTTTACGCGAACAGTTTACAAAAAAAGCAAACAATTGAACCAAACAAAATGTTCACACTGCGCGCTTGTAGCGCTCTCATAACATGTTTTGGCTGGAAGTACTGTAACATTATCGCTTATAATGGTGTCGGCCAGTTACCGGCAACGTGATGTTTGGATGTGGAGCTTTGTTAGCATGAAAAACGCGACGCGTCGAGTGCGTGCATACTGCCTGCTTCATTTTATACAGCCGCCGAAGAGCAGTCTTCATGTTTGTGTTACTATTACTGCTGCTTGTGAGTTGCTGATTGTTTGCTGAATATGAAGGCGAAAATAAAGCACGCTATAAAAGATCCAGACAAGCAATAATCCCACTACTAAGCCGTGTAGCGTTAACGTATTACGGTATAAGTGGGTCAGTAAACTCAGTATCATGACACTGTTCTACGTATACCTATCTGCAGAAGGTAATAAGCCAGCGACAATTATTAGTGATGCCTTCGAGAAATTTAACGGTTTATCAATTAAAAGCGCAACATTGTCCGGGCGGAGGTACGTACAGCGTTCGTGTTTGTTTTGTAGTAGTACAGTAAAATCTCTCTGTGGAATACAGGCACGGTTATAATATTATCAGTCTCGTATTTAATGCCGGATGCATTTTATAAAGGACAACTGCCCACAGAGGCCCTGGTATACTTCGCTTTTACTCGCGTTCCGACCGCTTACAGATTACACCTTCACGTTCCGTCCACCCGATTGCATTAGTAGCCCCTGCAGTGAGCGGCTACGTGGTTATTAACAGCTAACTGCACAGTTCAGTTTGTTTTCCCCAGCACGTAAAACTTAAAAAGTACGTTTTTTGGACGCACTGAAAGCGAAATCGGCTGACAAAAAACACCTCCAGTCAAAGAAACCGAACAGTTCGAAAATTAAGTGACGAGTCTTTCACATGCTGGTTAAATTTTATTTTTACGGTGATTAATTCTAGTAAATTAAACCAACTAAGGAATTTGTGATTATTAACTAAATCGGTGATAATTCCTCGTTTTTTATAGCAAACTTTTTGGATGGATTCGTTGATCTCTAAATTATTCTTTAAAACTTTGTTTTGTGATAAATTTTTTTGTTGTTCCTTGTTGCTTTCGGTCCTGAAATAAACGGTCTTACTGGTTAAAAATTATCTGTATGGTATTATAAATTTTTATGTGGGCCCATGCAGGGAAACTGAAATGGTGGGTGGACGGAACGTGAAGGTGTAATCTGTAAGCGGTCGGAACGCGAGTAAAAGCGAAGTATTTTAGATCGGGGCGGGAGAAAGTAGCAGTATTTTGTAATTGTAACATTAAGACAGTAGCAAGTGTCTGTAGCGCATTACAAATTTAAATTACAGTATTTAATTAGAATTTTACAAGTTTCATTTAGAGTTAATTTTAACTATAATAAAATTAGTATTTCAAGGTTGATAAAATCAGAACACTCCATCGAGATACAGTACTTTTACATAAGTACTGTAATCACATACGAAATTACTTTTTCACAAACAACGTGGAAGTTGCTCGCAGTTATTTACGGTATATGATCGCATCCGGTATCTCTATTGCATTGCAAGATATAGTTGGTTTCGCTTTAAGTCTTCGAATACTTCACCATATTGTAGCAATAGGAATTACACTGTACAGCAAATGGTAGTGTTAATAGCCTTGGTTTACTTTTTATGGGTTGTTTTCTTGGAGATCGGAACCCTTACTTCCCATACGTTCTGGAGACCGAACCAACGGGTTAGAATTTTCTGGAAATTAGTGTTGCTGCAGCTCCTCCGAGCCTTACTAATTATGCTCCGGTGAATTTGACCCGCACTTTCCGCGCTCACGCGTTTCTTAAGCTTATCAGTCTGCTTTGCTCGCTGAAGCTTGCTTTAAATACTTGCTCCTCTAGCAAAAATCTTACATCGTGCTGCTTAACCGCAACTGGAAGAGCGTGCCTTCCAGCCCGTGTGATCGTTAAACAGCTTCCGGTCAGCATCGCTAGCCTTTCTGTCGTGTTCTCTTGCTCGCATGCTTTTTGACAGGTTTCGGCTACTACTGCGGATATATGTTACCATTTAACAGTCTAGGAAGGCAATGATATTTACAGGTTTAAAGTACTCGTAATAATTTGTTATCACGGCACTACACTTTCCCTCACACCGACAGATCGCGATAAGCTGACAGTAAGGTGGATTATTCGACCCGCCTACTGTTAACCGGTAAGTACTATGCTCACTTCTATTTAAATTTTCGGTAGAGTAGCAATTTCTGAAGATTTACCTAAATTATCAAAAAGGTAGTACGTACGTACTAAGTGAAATCAAATTAGTACCATGCCAAGTATGCGGCAGATCGGCAATGCGATTCAGGACACAAAGACAACAGGTATCTTATGTTTTACTGGAATATTTAAGTCGTAGGTCACTCCACTAAAGCTTAAAATTACCGTTGTCTTTATGCCTCGAATTCCGATCATCGCAGCTCACGACCAACATCCCGTGCTCGGCTTCTGGATAATACCTGGCGCGCTGATCTTTGTAATCAAGCAATTTGAAAGACGTGTTATACTTTACTTCCCACTTTCACGCTGTTAGATATGCGCAGTTACGACATCCGCACCTGGCTGTACCCACCACTATATTGTTTGTGGCATCTGCCAGCTTTTATCGCTTGCCAGTTGCCAGAGTCTCCAGTTTTTATCGCATGCCATGCCACTGGCAGTGCCATTGGCAGGTGCCACTGCCAGGTTTTACACCCTGCCCCACTTTCGATGCACACCTGCTCACGCTGGTTCGACCAGACTTGAAGTCTCTTTGGGATTGTCTGCTCTTGTGCCGTAATAATAATAATATTGTATTTGGCTTCAAATTAGCCAGACCAGAGAATGTGACGCTGTGAACCCTCCGTTACACTCGCAGCCACCTGACGTCTGCAAAACTGTCTAACTTATTTGGACGATTCTTTCGTTTTACTTGGACGGTTATTGCACGATTCATCGAACAGTCTATCGGCTTACGTAAGCAGGTGGCGCACATGGAGATTTTATTTAGATGCAACACTCGGCATCTATTCGATAATCATCATTACAAAAACACCGGCGCTCTACAGTGCGATCGTGAATGCTCCAGAGGAACTGATTAAACGGTCGGATATGGATGTTCCACGCTTGCCGCTTCCTCAGCTTGATACCGTAGCACGTGGCGCCGAATTTCCCTGCATGATGCGTGAACCATGCATCACCGATGGGATTAAGAAGCGGAATCGGTCCACAGCCGCCGCGGGGATTAACATCCATGTTGTTGGGGAAGTGCGGAAGGGCATCGGCCAGCCAGGCGAAGTAACACCAGCTGGCACCTTCCGCGTACGCTTTCGCCAACTGCGCCTTGGTCGCCAGCACCGCGCCTACGGCCCGACATGCGTCCTCTGCTTGGCTTTTGTCGTATTCATACCGAAGACCAACGGCAAATACTTCCTCTATAACATTCCAAGTCGTGCTTTATATAATTATAACAAAGGTCATTTCGATGTTAAAGTGATACGGATTCCGTATTATAATTTCAAATAACATTTTTAAACTAATGAATAATAATTATTAAAACACATATAAATAAAAATGTATCTATATATAACGTAAATTAATTTATAAATAAATTTAATAAATACACACATACATAAACAACAAGAAGATAATATGAATAAAAACATAATATACTGTATAAGAAAAATAGAAAAACATAATTATATAAAAGAAGCGAACATAATATACAGATTGTATATATAGCTCGATTTGTGGACTTTTTTACTTACCTTTGTTTTCTACATTGCAGTTGTAGCATTTTCGAATGCGTATGATATCGCTGTAGCTCAAGTTGAAATTCTGACCAATAGCAAATGGTCGTTTGGTAGTGATGGTCTGGACAAACGGGCTTCTGGCAAACGCCACCGGTGGATAGTGCATAATCGACAGGTAATCATAAGGTAGGCCCAGCACGGTGGTGTCGATGTATTTACGCTCGAAGTTGATCCGCACATCAGCAACTAAAACACAGAACATTAAGGAAGTTGCACTTCTAAAAACAATAAGGTGTTTCCTTGATTGTCCCGTTTAGCGCAAAAGGCCCAAAATTCCTAGCCAAACTCGCATACAAAGCGTATTACCACTACAGTACAATAAGCGATGCGAATGACCGCGAAAAAGCCGAAATCTCTGCAGAAAAGTGTGTGTATCTGTATTTGTGAACGAAATGGTTGTCGGTGTCACTATGCAGTTTTCTAACAGTTAATATGTAAGTTGATTTTGCGACGGAAACTCCTTTTTATGCCAAAATACATGTATGTGAAAAAGATGCCGAAATAAGTGTGCGTGAAACAGTGTGCTTACGGTTTCTAATGTTGTCGAAGTTGACCGTAACGAAGTCATCGCGATCTTTCCGGGCGTGTTCATGGAAGAATCCCAGGGTGTGCATCAGTTCATGGAGAACGTCGCCCTGGGAATCGGCACAACGGGACGTCAGGTAAATGCGCTGCCGGTGGCCTGATCGGCCCACTTCCGATGCACACCTGCTCAAACGTTTTATATGATTGTTTAACCGGTAAGTTTAATGCGGTACACACGAATATCCCTATCGTGGAAATCCTGCAACACTGAATGCCAAATAGTCACACAAAGGATCAACTTACGTGTGAGCTTTGGAAATTTCTACGTAGTCTTTCTCCTGCGTGCGCGGTACAAAGTGGATACATCCCTCGGTTTCGGAGGTAATCAGTGCCATTGCCTGCAGAATGGTAGCCTGGTGGGCGCCTGCAATGAGAAGTGCAGCATGCAGGCAAGGTAAATTCGGCTGAGACGAATATTTTACCGCAAAAAAATATACTTTATTTGTATTACGGTTTTTGTATACGTATATATAAAATTTCGGCTTGTTTTGATTATACTTTTTGTACGAAACTTACGCAATGCCGGACCAATGGTGTAGGGTACTATTCCTCTTGGCCATCTCCGCGACTCAGTGAGGACGGCGTTGGCTTGAGTCTGTATTCAGTCAGAAACTAAACCCGCGCTATTTTATCTGTCCTATATTTTACTGCAAACTCCAGTTCTGTTTCTGCATATGGCTCTTGTAGAACATTATATCCGTAATCGAGTATTGATAGCAAAAAGAAAGGTTTACCGTTTCCAGATCGGACATGGCGTCGATGCCCAAGATATCCCCTTCGAACAAACTCGACGAGTAGCGTCCATCGGCGTCGTTGGGGCTGTTAACTGTCTCGCTGCTGGTATCGGTAGTTGTAAACTTGTAACCTCTGTCACATCACAGAAAATACGATATCGGATATCTGTTGCACTATAATGAAGTTAAACGTTTTTCAAAAATCTGTTTATATGGCTCCGTTGAATCGTATGCTTCAAAATTAATGTTTTGCTTTTCGGTTGCATTCCTTGCGTTAATTAACGGTAACTTACCATACCAGCTCAGCAAACAAATGCACAGCCAGTGTGTAAGCATTCTGAAAGCCCAGAACTGCTTCGAACGCAATGGAATAGAGTAAAGTATTACAGAGAACACGAAAAATACTACTCGTATGGTGTATTCAGCGTCGCCGCTCGTCAACTGTACGTCGCCGTAGCCACCGTAGAATACTGCGCGGTATTCTCCGCGGTAGTGTCTCTCTTTTTAAATACAGACTTAACAGGACCCTTCCGCTCGGCAAATCGCAAGTGGCCTTTGCGCCGATACCGATCAGGAATGACAAAACATATATTCGACAGTTTTACGCGTCAACGTGCCAGAATATTTCGTAAGACTAACTAACCTTTGCCCGTTCACACGCGTATTTAGAAGACTTATAGTTAGAGAGTTGCATGAATCATCTGGATATGTACCGCTAAAATGGGAGAGTACTAGGTGAGCGGATGAAGGACACTTTCCAGATATTGCAATCTTAAATCAGCCAAGAAAAGTTGCCCGACAATGATCGCATTCAGCGATATAATGAATGCAAAGTTGTTACTTGTATTGTGAGAAATGCTAGTAATACTGCACCCGGAAGCGGGCGTAAGCTACCTGTTATGGGAAGCGACCCGGTACATGGCTTTAAATTTCCGTTTTAGCGCACTGTGCAAACACGTTTTTGGATGGCTCTTTGACGTTCTGTAGTCAAACGATGTGCAAACGTAGGCGTGATATCTATTTTCGTGCGCAACATCCGGTTGCGGAGTTATAAGGGTAATAAAATTCCACAAAGTATAAATGCATTCAGATGTACGAGGTACATACCATACGTCTCATTATGGACCGGTCTCCTTCGAATTTTCCACGTATATGCACTGATGCACATAACCAGGAAGATCGTTTTACGCCGATCCACTGTTCTAGCATGTCTTTTTAATTTTAAAATAAAGTTCAAAAATTTAAAATTTATTTTTAAATTGTGCAAAAAACTTATGGAATTCTGGATTGATGTAAGAACAAATTGCTGCTGTCGACTTGTAATAATATTGAAGTCATATTTACAAAATTTTTACATACAGTACTTCATAACATGCATAAATCACACCATCCACAATCACCACTGCATTTCCGTCTCGGTGAATGCACAACACCTCTCCACTACAATAACAAAATATGTATTAATTAATGCTGCAAACAGGAAGATAACAAGAAAACAAGCAACATCACCGTCATCAGCGAATTTACACCTTAAAAAGTGTGCTGAAGGATTCATGCACGCTAAATGCAAAAAAAATACAATCTCCGCAATCGACCTTTATTCGTTTCCACAGAGTATTGGGTTGTCCAGCAGTACTGTCGGTGTTGAATCTCGATCGAGCTGACCAGTTCGAAGTTCGAACATTCTGTTCAAAATGATTCCACAGACAGCTCTCTGTCCAACTCCGGCAACTCGTCGCCCGACTGAGCGCTGAGAGCGGAGAGCGTGCTGCTCTACCTGCGCCTTTTCACTGCTTTTCACCACACTTAAACCAATTCCAGCTCACAGTGTAACCACCCAGAATGGCGCTTCCTTCAAATCATTCGCAGAGTTCTTCATTCTTTGCGCGTTTGATTTTGCCCTCGATGTGCTATGCCATTAACTATTGTTGCTTGAGAGATTCCGTGTCGTTTGCGTAAAATTAATCTGACACTGAAAACGCGACACCAAGCACTGCCATTATCAGATTATTCAGACCAATCGATAATCAGACTATTTTGTATGTGCATTTTGCAGGTGCAGGTGTACTCTGTACGTTAACACTTACCTGAGCAGCACGAAGTGCATTATGCCTTTTTACGGCAACGGGAGCGGGAAGTCACGCGCTGGAACGCCGTGGACGTTCTCGTCGACGGCGGGCTGCTGCAGCACGGCGACGTCATTAACGTGGCGGAAGGTTGTCTGATTGTCGACTTTCACTGCGCTTCCCAGTGGGCAGAGTTTGTCGAATGCGAACGGGCTTTTCACTTCCCATTTAAACAGGCCGTCTGCGAACCGCGGGATGTGCAGGTGCTGCAGCGCCGCTACCCGGACGGTGCCTGGATCTGGTACCCGGGACGGACTGAAGAGTTCAGCTGCCAGGACGTGGAACTGGTGCAAGTGCAGTTGCCCGAAGGCCCCGTCAAACAACTGGTCCCCCTCGCTCAGATACGCCCCGCGCCTTCCCCCGCGGATTTCCAGAAGCACCGCGTGCAGAAGGACGATTTTGTGGTCCGCTGTTGCTCGTTGCCCGCCACCTGCCAATTCGATGAATTCCCGCTACTTGATAAGGTCTTCGAATGTAATTTGCACGAACTGCTGCGTGTGTTGTGCACATTCCCGCCCAGCAGGACGCTTTTCTATCTGCAACGGGAGACGTCGCTTCCATTAACATGGGTGCAAGTGGTAAGCCACTGTTCAACCTTCACCTCTAAAAGTACTGTAGTTGAAATTATGCATTTCACATACTTCGAAGTATTCCTACTACACTCCAGTACCACAGGTTTCTATCGTTTTCTGTAATAGATTTTTTATTCTTTGAGAACAGATTTTTTTGGAGTAATTTTTTGCAGTTACGTATTGGCGGTATTGGCCAAACGGCTAGCGTTTTGGCGAACCAATGACATATTTGGCGATTTCAGCCTTTTAAATGTGGAAAACGTCCATCGCACGTTTCGTATATTTAATAATAGGACTTTATCGAATTACCTCTTGTTTTAACCTTTTACTTATTGTCCTTGCCTGCGAGGGAGTGCTTCCTTTGCGCTAAAGACATTAATGGTCAAAAAATGACTTGGGATACGTTCAGAATAATCTCATATTGCTCTTATTGTAGAGCCCTAAGCACTTCAGAAGGGCCCACGCTCAAGCTCTGCCTTAGACTCTGACCACTCAAAGTCTGACTCTGACTGTCCAAACCTAAGAAAACCTAGGAAACCTAAGAAACCTAAGAGACCTAAGAAAAACCTAAGAAACCTTCAGAATCAGAGTCAGACTTTGAGCGGTCAGAGTCAGACTTTGAGTAGTCCGAGTCAGAGTTTGAGTGGTCAGAATCAGAGTCAGAGTCAGAATTTGAGTCTGTGCCCTTCAGAAGAGCGATAACGATAACATCAAAGCATATTTCCGGTTAAACAAAATAACATTTTCAACAGTGCCAATTACAGAAGCGGTATTTCTTCTAACAGTGAAATTTCTAGAAATGTGCAATATTCTGCTTCAAATACTCCGCAACGAACTGCCATAATCTGGTAGTGCTGAAAGCGATACTTAAGAAGAAACTCTACGGTTATCAATCACCGAATCGACTAGCGTGTTGCTTGCCTTAGGAACGCGTATACGGCATGGCGCGCAGAGAGTGGGAGAGTGGCCGATCGGACATCCAGCGGCTGCTGCATAAGCAGACTAGTGCACCTTATGAACCGCCAGAGATTTCGGACGATATGATGCCTCTGTCGTTGCCGGCAGAGCTATTGATCGAGGTCTTCCGCTCGCTGGACTCTGTCGGCCGTATTCGGTGCCGACGGGTGTGTCCCCTGTGGGACGGTATTCTCACCACGGAAGCCAACTTCCCCGATGTGCAGGTGTCCTTCGGCCATCCGGATTATGGCGTTCTCAACTTTGCGCATCACGGAATGTACTGGATGGCAGTTTGTTTGAGGAAATGTCTCAGCAGCCGCACCAAGGTGGCGATTATTATGGATATCGGCGGAGAGCGTTGCGAGCAGGTGTCCGCTCTGCTCGATATGATCCTCACACCAGCCAGGCTACCGATATTGCTTTTCGACAATTGCGATTGGAGCGCGGCGTATGCTGCTGTTGGTGGTGTTGTGGACAGCGTGGCTCAGACGTTCCGCAAGTCGGGATGCAACAAAGTGGTGTGGAAGAGATGCGAGATGGCTGATCGCCTTTTGAAGGCACGTGTAGCGCGACATACATTTAGTGCCGCATCGAGCGGTGAACTGGAGAGTGAGCTGTGGGATTTGTTTGAGAAGAACCTCGTTTTGACGAAGCCGGTAGACCGGACGACCCTGTCGACCTCCGTTGCCGACTGCCTGGCTGGTCGGTCCACTGCGCTGACGGCAGGACAAATTGTGGAGGTAAGCCGGTTGCTGGTTACTTTACGGACTTACAAAGTGCGCCTACGAGTAGATGGTGGTGATTGTGCAGGCTCTGAATAAGTACCAGCGTGTGGATCCGCGCCCGTCCACGCCGTATCGTCACCGGGAATGGACGGAGGCGAGCATCGGCGATTTGGATCCGAGTCGGCTGACCACGCTGACGGCAGCGGTCTTGAGCAAAAGCATCGACTCCGCTGCTTCTTCGGCTGATGGCCAAACGACGGCCCGCGGTCCAGGTGATGCGGCTCCGCGTTAGATTAACAGGTGGGTGCGTGCAGAGGCCGCGATCGAGCCGCTGATACTACGAGGACAATTGGGTGCTGTGAACAAACCCTACACCATTAGGTTGCGATGAACAGCCAAGCTTCATTTATAGCCGTTTGCATTAAAACTGTGATACCAGCAGCGTTGCGAGCTGCGGTTAGCCAGCTGTTCATCGCAGCCTAATCGTGCAGGGTATGTTCACAGCACCCAATTGTCCTCGTATGCGCTGTGCCGGGTGCCGACGCTGTTTATTCCCATTACGATAATACAATTGTATCTGTAGTCATCGAAAAATGCGGATTTATATCATTGTGTCAATTGAAACTGAGTCTGTTGAAGGTATAATATTATGGCTTTAGACCAGTTTAGTATTACGATGCTGTGCATTTGTGGTTGTAGCGACGATGTTGGATTCCTGTACGCGGCAGCGCTTCTTCATGGAATACCTAAACTTCGGATGGTCATGGAATCATTGGAATGAAAATCAAAATGGAATGGTCTTCGTTAGTGATGGACTAGTTGTATTTGCTTACCATGCCAATTCCCCTTTGCTCCGTTCGTTGTTCTAATCGGGTTAAGTGAATTCAGTTTGTTTCATCAGCTTTGCTGAAATTCCCTGACACTGGTCATTTGGTATCGCTGTTAGTATGTCCATGTGCAAGGTTGCTCACGTTTTCTTGACCTGCTAAACAGCTCCATGCTCAGCAGGTTAAAAGTCCCTGCTAAACTTTCGGCTCATCCTCATGTGCTCTGATCAGTAGTTTATTAAAATCACTTCACTGCGACGCTTTCCGAAGCAGACTTTTTAAGCCGGGTGACCGATGAAATGATTCCCAACACCTTGTAATATCAGCGCATTAAACTTTTTGCGGTTATTTTATCGCTTTTATTAGGCAGTCGCTAACAGACATTCAAACAGGCCTGCGCAGATTTTAAACTCAATAAAACCATGGAAATTTTAACACTGAAAAAGCATACAGGATCGCGCAAGTGTTCAGTGGCTTCGACATCTGGGAGAATAACCAAACAGACAGGCCACAATGATCGCCAGTGGTGACATTATTACAGGGAAAGCAATCATTTCGGCAACTGTTGTTATATATGAACGGTGGGCCTATTCCGGTGCACAAAACGATGCCATCGGAATTACATATGTCGCTTCTGTACGGTACAGCTCCAAGAGTACTATTCTGTAAGTGCATTCACAATGTTCTCATCCAAAAAACTGCGGGCATCGAACGGCTCAACCAACGGGTGCCTCAACAGTTGTCGCACACACAGCGTCGTGGAGAACCCCTACAGCGAGCCGTCCCGGCCTTCCGCTCCAGACAGTAGACGTCGCAGTCTTTGTCCTGGCGACACCGTGGACCTCCCGGACACATTATCGGCAAAACCATAGGACTGACAGTTTGTCCTTGTCGTTTAGGCGAAAGCGCCGTGGTTGGGATGATGGTGAGGCAGACTGCGCCGAGTAGCATCCACAGGTGAAATGCACGCATTGCTGCGGACTTGGGTATATCCTGAAGGTTTTCACGCACTCGCTGGCCAATTCAACAGAACAACCTGGCGGCTCTGCTGTTGTGAGCGTGGTTTCGGATACAAAATAAATAAGCTATCGTCAGAATACGACAAACTGTTCTTAAACGCACTTTTTAAGAATATAATTTTCAACGATAAGCGCCTAGTTGATACATCGAAAACAGTAATTTAACAGACAATCTTTAGCCACCAACAAATGCAATAGGCTGAAGGAGACTTATTGCTGTCTTTTCCGCTTTTCACAGCACTCGAATGGTATCCACTGTACGCACGCTTGTTGCATTGATTGTTCACACGAGCACATGAAAGGTCAAAGTGCACTCGCATGAGAAAGACGCAGCCGCACCTTGCTTTTCTCTTAATGTGGCAATATTTCGCTGTAGCAGAGTGATTATCCGGTAAAGCAGACAGTAACTGTTGTGCCTCAAAGAAGATGCTATCGGTGTTAGCGCGTGATTAAGTTAACTGATACTGAGCACGGCTCACGCGCTATTATAGCGGTAGCTCATGCCATAAGCACAACATCTCTAATGCAGTAAAAAACGATTTCTACCGTACTTCCCGTTCCATAATGTAGTATACCACTAAACACTAGCAGTATGTCATAGTTAACTGAAATCATGCCGTTTTTTACCTGTGGATTATTAGCGAATCGTGGATCATTAGCGATTATTGTTGTTCTTTGCAGCTTTGCCAGTAAGTTCCCAGTGCAGAAAGTAGACATTCGTGTCAGTATCCAACTGCCTTTTTGCAGTCAGCAGTGGATTCCGTTTGCTGGATGAATATTGCGGCGACACCTTGTCCCTGTCGTCCTGCTTCGTGAACGATTCCGTCTTGATCGACGATAGCCGTCAACTGTCCTTCTTCAACCTGTCCGCTTTTCAGCGTTGCGCCGTTATCGTGGAGCTGAATGCCTGTGATGATACGCCAGCGGCTTTGTATTTCAATATCCAGTAAGAGCTTCCTAAAGAAGATGCCATATCCCGTACTATACGTAATTATTCTGCCCATAACCGACTAACAAACCGTGGATGTCGTGCGCGTGGACCATAAAGAGTAACATCAATAAGCGCGGTAATAATGACGACGGTAACTGCTAACTAGGGAAGCCGAGCTAGCGCCCGGCGCTTCTGTGGAAATCTGGCAGTTGGACCCCGTGCCCAGCGCCCGCGTCCTTCTGAAACGGATCCCCGGCGGCCGCAGCTCGGGGAACGCCAGTCCGCGCTCGGTCGACCAAATCCTGACCAGCATGACCAGCCGCCCGCGGGTCCTGCTGGTGTATCAAACGGCGGAGTACCGACCAAAGTACCACGTTACCTTTACGTGGAGCGCTGTTTACAGTAAGCCTGTTGCGTAATTTCACTTCCGAGCGGGAAAGAACGATTATACGCCTTTTCAGACGACACATTCAGCCACGACGGGCCAACGTTGGCTTTCTGTCCAGCACTGGACGGGTACGTCGATCGGGATTTATTGTGCGGTCAGATGGAGATCGTCGTCTGTCCCACTCAGTTCGTTGCCGACGTTAGCGCACCAAATCCGGTTAAGGCGATGGATTTACGCGAGTGTGAAGACAAAAGTACAAAACAAGCAGTCTGAATCCAGCTTGACGGGTGACGCTCACAATAAGACGGTTTTTGTAGATGAAATGCAGGTTATTTTCGAAGAACGCTTTCGTACCACAACGCTCAACGCTTCAAAGTGGAACGTTGCCGATTACTTGGATGACTGGGATTCGGTGTACGTCGCACCCGAAAACGCGCAAATTATTAACGGACGCCTAACGCTTCCTATCCAAATTAACGATGGGAAAGTAACGGTCGGTCGACTCAACAGAACCGGCAAAATTCGCTTTCGCTACGGTGATGTTGAATTCCGCGCGAAACTCCCGCGTTCACCGCAGCTCAGAACATGGAGTTCGTTCGGTCTGGGTCGCGCGGATTGTGACGCGAACTGCGAAGAAAATATCGAAATTCTAAACGCCCGAAACGACTTCCCCAGCCGCGCAGTCGTGAATGTTTTACTCCCGTTGCTCAGGAAGCCGTTTACCGAGGTGTTCAGCCCCGACAACGAATGGACGGACGATTTTCACGAGTACCGATTATCGTGGACAGAGAAAGCGGTGACATGGTACGTAGATCGAAAAATGGTCAGCCGTGCGGCGTTCGCCGACAAACTGTACTTTCCGCGGGACTTCGCTGAGCTGGCGTTCTACACGAGCGCCGTCAACCAAACCGATTCGAACGCCGCGGAATTACTGATCGACTACCTCGTGGCGCCACTGCGTACACGCGATGCCGTCAAAATTCCTCCCGTACTATCGACATCGACAAGCGTTCCTGCGTGGGTGTGGACATCGGCCGCCGGGTGTCTCGGGTTCGTCGGGCTCGTAACGGTGATTGTGGGAATGGTGTGCCTAGTGAAGCGCAGACGGTCCGCCCGCATTAACCGACTGATATTTTCTACGGCTCTCGTTCCGGAAAATGTGAAGGTTGTGTATGAAAATACGGTGTGTGGGAAATCTGTATAGTGAAATAAATGTATGTAGTATACCCCAACTGATACTGAAGCCAGATGCGTACTGAAACGGATCACGTGTTCCGACTAGTGAAATTTCATATGATTAATTTACAGTGCGATCGCTTCCGTCTCTTTTTACACCACTTCTTTCAGCTAATATCTTATACCGTAATTATCGAATTTGTGGCCCTGGGGTGCAAATAGTTCGAATGCCATGGCGGAGGGGGGCTTATTTCGGGGAGGGGGCGCAATTTCGGGGGGTGGCATTATTTTTCAAACGGTATATTTTGGAGAGGGGCATTATTTTTCAAACAACTGCGCATCGTGTTTTAGCGAAACTGAACACAGTAGTTACCGGTATTATTGGCGGTATATGCAACTGCACAACCTTGGGAGCAACATTTTGGAGTGTCTGTATACCTCCTTATACAGCTGTTTGCCAACGAACAACGCATCATTTTGATGTCCGCTAACTGTTTCTCATTCAATTACAACAACCTTTGTGGCTAAATTTTGCGGTATCCCTATATCACAGTTTGTGGCGCTCGACATTTATTAACGGCCCTCTGGGGCGTAATTTCGGCGGGGTGGTCTTATTTTTCAAACAGGGTCGGGGAGGGGGGCTTATTACGGGGGGATGGCTCTTATTGCGGGGGGGGGGGGCCAAATCCGATAATTACGGTATCTCGCATCACCGACTTTGTTGTTGACTTTCGTAATTTTTGCTCACTCTTTGTAGAAGTACTTTTTTTCACAATTTCTGTTACTTGCTTAGCCAAACTCGATCTGGTATGATTATACTGCACTGGTTTTTTCTCTCTCGCTAAATATATCATCTCATGTTTGTTTTGTATGTGACCTTTGCTGTTTCTGATGTTTTGGGAATGTCAAATGCCTTGAGGGGACAGTGTCCCGTTCCGCAAAACAATAAATTAAATTAATCGGCCAAAACGGAGCGTAGGTCCTCTATGTTCAAGAGAATAGAAAATTTTGTCGGTCGGTCAGGCACGTCGATCACACCCTAAGTTGGCGGTCACACTCTTAAGTTGTGGGTCACAGACTAAGCCTGTATCTACGTAACCCTGGGTTTTAGGGCATCAGTAAATTTAACAGCGCTGATGCAGCGAAATTTTGGGTTAGGGAAAGAGCACCAAAGCATAGCACTAGGGTAATAGATTGCTCAGTGCCCGTTTTTCCCCTAAGTGTCTTTATGACCTAGCATGCCCTGTGCTCCCAACCCTTACGTAGAACTTAATGATGCCCATTGAATAATAATGGAGTCTCTACAAATTTATAAGTAACTGCGCAGTTGGGCACAGCATTAACGTGCTAAGGTGCTGACTTGTATTGTCTTAGGAAGGCACCAAAATCCATAAGTTTATTTGGCATTCAAATCGAAATGGAAATACAAGGCACTCACAGATCGCTAATGTGTTTGGTATCTTCGTCTGGTAGCTTTCAGGCAATAAAGATATGCCAATAAGGTAGCACCCATGCATAGTACGTAAGCTACTGGAGTGTTGGTGTAAGGCACTGCGAATAAACTTTCTAATTTAGCGAACTGAACTTTCTAATTTACCGGGCTAATTCGCGGGCCGAGTCAACCTATGCGAAAAACGCAAAAAACAGCGTGCGAAAAATCGTTAATTCATAAGAATGAAACCCGTACACCGCATACAACTTTCACAGAAATATATAACCCGCTCCCATTACCCATTAACGGAAGCCATCATGTTTTATGACTGCTATTCCGAAATATTCGGACCACATTTTAATTGCATTTCCCAACCTTTTCTCCTTGATCCTTTATAAAGCAATGCAAATCAGCCGTGGTTTCGTTATCAATACGGTTTTCGTACATATGCGCGTTTACATACAAAACTTGAAAGAAATCGATCCATAATGAGACTTTTGGTACACCTAAATACCTTTAAACTTCTTGCAGTTTTCCAATAGCCGTAACCTCGAACGGAACGCTGCGCGCGCAAACGGTTTTCACGCATATGAACAGTATTCGAATCATCTGGCTACAGAATGTCATAAAGCGAAGCAAGAAAGTGTTGGGAGTGCGCGAAAGTGAAAGTTTTCGTGCATGTGTACAGGTTTGGTACCGCGTACCACTACCGGGTCGCTTCCCTTAACTTTATCGGCACGTGTCGTTACACATCAGACTATCTGCAAAGCTCCGCACTACATCAAGGTAAGAGGTCGCGAACTACATTCGGTATGATACGAGCGCTACTCCACTAGTCAGTGCTAGCATACCTATTCGAGTTAAAAGTGTTATTAATGTCTTAAGCTTTACGGGTACTGTATTCGAGTACAAAATTCGCAAGTCGCTTGCTCATTTTATAATTAGACGGGTCATCTTTTCCGATTCCCATAACTTCCAAATAACCACCTACTATTAGGAATGATTGACGCTTTTCTTACTTACGAACTTATTTTCCTCGCTCATGTCACAGCAACGAAACTTTTACAATAGGAAGGTTTTGTCACTATAGAACTCGAACGCGTGACTACCGCTAAGTTCGTTTGTTGTTACTTCGGCTACGGACAATAATTAATGCAATTGTTTTTTTAATTCTTAATTGTGTATTGTTGGCCGTAGTGATATGAATTACGACTGTTATGTCGCGATAAGCACATCAATAAAGAATGATTTTCTATTAATGCAATACAATTACAAATAAAAGTATACTGATTATACAAATACCATATTACACTTATGTTAATTAGTGTGAACAACATAAACTCTTGAAATTATTCTGGGTATGTAGAAGGCATCCCGGCAAAACAGACACTAGTACAACAAATTCATTGTCACATGAGCGGTCAAAGAAACAAAAGAAGAAAATACGATAAATGTCATGGACTCGTGGCATGTCCTTGTACGAAAGCGGCATGGCAGCAATTTGGCTGGCTCGCGAATCTACGTTCCCATATGCAGCATCATTGCCTCCTCGCTACATAGGCAAAAACACTGCATTATTTATGCTAAACCGCTGAAAACCATCAACATTTTCACCATCAAGAAAATTCACTTAGACCCCGGCAAAGGCTCCTACAACCAGGCCGCACGTGCGTAGGTGATAATTACAGTACATACAACACATTGGTGCAATTATATGATAGTTCTTACCTATGGTTAGAATTGTTGGCTAAGTGCGGAGGTGCCCAACACACAGTAGATAATCTGGGCAAGTTGCGACAGTAGAATTTTTAAAAATTCTACTGCATTAAAGACAGCAGCAAATTCTACCGAATTAAAGACAGCAGCGGCTATTTTGCCATAAACTCACTATAGCAAAATAGCCGCTACGGTCACTGGTATTGCTACCGCCGCAACTTCCCAAATTGTCAAGTTTCGCTAGTCGGAGTTTTCTGTTACAGTGCACCTTGCTATTTACCGTGGAGTTGTACTAGTCGTGGTCTTCATCAGGATCACTATCCGCATCCATGCCTTCGCTCAGAGCCGCAACCGTCAACGGGGTCAGCTGACTCGGATCCAGATCACCCAGCGTATCCGTCGTCCACTGAAGACCGCGGTAAGGAGTGGGCAGACGCGGATCCATGCTCTGGCAGTCGTTCAGAGCCTGTAACATGACAACAATTCATGAGTGCATTCGGTGCGGTGGCCTACGCAGTTTAATTCAAATTGTAATGCATTTTTGTGGTCAGCACACGGCTTGCCTTCACAATCTGTTTGTCCGTCAGCCCGCTGGGCCGGCCCGCCATGCAATCGGCAATGGACTGGCACAGGACCGACGGATCCAGCGGCTCCGTCCCGTCGAGGTTCGTCTCAAAGAGATCTCACAGTTCCCTCTCCAGTTCGTCGCCCGAGCGGGCGCGGAACGAATGCTGCGCCACATGGGCCGTTAAAACGCGGGCGATCATGTCGCAGTTCTTCCACACCACGGTCTCGCATGCCCGACACTCCCGGAGCGTCTCCACCACGCCTCCCACGACGTACTCCACAGTCGCGTCGTCAGAGCACCAGTCACAGCCGTAGAACACCAGCATCGGTATCGTGGCCGGGGTGAGAAGTGTGTTGATCAGCGTGGCTAAATCTGAACAACGATCACTGGAGACATCAGTGATCACGATGACCTTGGTGCGGCTGCTCAGGCACTTCACCAGACAGGACGCCGCCCAGTAGATGCCCTGGTAGGCATCCGTCAGAACACCGAAATCCGGATGACCGCCGGACACGCGCACATCGGGAAAGTTGACCTCGGCGCTGAGAATACTGTCCCACAGCGAGCAGACACGCCGACAACGAATACGCCCGATGGAGTCCAGCGAGCCGAAGGTCTCCACTAGCAGCTTATCCGGCAGCGGCAGACTCGTTTCCATACCGACAGAAACCTTTCGCGGTTTCTGGGCAGCACTATTCCACTGGCGATGCAGCGCTCGCGTTCCCATATCCACTGAGGGACCTGCCTCCACATCCTTCTTCGCCCAGCAGTACGTCTCCTTCTGCAATAAGTAAGAAAACGGTTTTACTTTCTCCCCGATAGCTGCATAAGTTTTCTTTACTTTTTCTTCAAATTTCCTTTTTTAATAACGAGAGCGGTGCATCCGTCCCATTTCCCTATTCTAAACTACTAGTACACAATTCCGTAAATGCGCGGCCCAGTCAAGTTTTTCTCTCAACGGTGTTTCCTGCCACTTTGGCCTGCTCATGAAATATGCATTCTGAAGACCCATCACTTTGGGCGCGAAGCAACACTTTCCTCGTCGAACTAATTTTAAGTTTGTTTATTATAATAATGTATCGGTAATCCAGATATGCAAAAAGATACAAGACACATCGGTCACCGATAGAAAGGTGGACGGGTTCTGTTAGAAGGTTGATCGTCAATGGTGCCGCATCCATATTTCTGCCAGTGCCGGCGGCAATCTTTGGTCACCACTGTGCACATTTGTGAGCCAATGCAAGCCGTATCAACTATTATTCTGTCCGATTAATAGGTCCGACAGAAAGGTTGACGGACATTCAGTCGTCCACAATGAGCATTCCGAGGCTACTCTTAGTAGCTACATGTGCAATTTACTTTCACCAACTGCAGCAGAGTTTTCAAACACAGAGAGCATTTTCGGTCTTTGAGCGACATCGTACTATGAGCTGCGAGAGAAAAGCAAAATTTGAAGGCACCCAAAAGTCGCCAGAGCGCTTCAGTTGAGAACTGAATAAACTGCCACTTCCATGGCGATCTACCATGACTTAATAAGAAAAATTTTAAAAGCCGCCAAAAGTTGGTTCGGGAAAACGAACAGCCCAAAAAACAATGATAACATATGCGTTATAACTCATCTGACTAAACGCAGAGAATCAGCCCCTAATGATCCTGAATGCACAACGGAGCCGGCGTAGAAAAGGCGTATGAAAGTAATGAAACAACAGGGCTGCAGTCAGTGATATCTACCAATAAATTCAGTAGAGCTCAGTGTCGACTACTGGAAATCCATCTACCTTTCTGCTGGACCATCAATCCGGCATCAAAGTTGATGCGACATCTTTAACCTTCGATCCTCAACCCGTTTACCTTCTGCTGCCGACAAAGGTCTCTAAGAAAACTTTAGGAAACCGAACGTTTGGGATGTAACCAGGTGGTGTACGGTTGCTGACTCTCTTGTCAGATATGATTGCAAACGATCCGAAAACCGCCGGCCTACCCGTTATTTTCTCGTAACGTCAAATTTCAATTTTTTGGCAGCGACAGCAGAAACCACCGTCTCTGGCACCAGCACCTCTGGTTTCAACACGGCCTCCATTAATTTACCCGAAGTTTGAGCAGATTGATTACTATGCAAAAGTGTGATCTCTAAATGTTTCAGATCCTAAAATTAATGGGATCAGGCCACACTTACCGCTTGGTCAGAAGTCAGCGGAACGGCGTTCCGATCTTGCAGATAGAGAACGGTCTGGCTGAGCAGCGATGTACACACAACACTGTAGCGTCGGCTCAGTCGGTTTTCGAAGATATGCTTGAGTAACTGGGAACTGTCGCCCCAGTAGCCACCCGGCAACCGGCAACAACGGACCACGAAGTCGTTCTTCCGCACGCGGCGCTCCTTCAAATCCGTCTGAGATGGCGGTTCCCGTATCTGGCTGGTGGGGACCAGTTGCTTGACGGTGCCCCCAGTTAACTGCAATTCCATAAGTTGTGCATCTTCGCAGACAAATTGTCCAACAGTGGGAATCCGTCCAGTTTTCCAAATCCAGGCACCGTCCGGATAACGGCGCTGTAGCACCTCCAGGTTCCGCTCAGACTCAGAGTAACGTGGCGAAGATCGAGAGTGAAAGGTGCGCTTGTATTCGACAAACTGTGCGCGCTGATGAGCACAGTGGAAGTCGATGATCAGACCACCCTCCGCCACGTTGATCACGTCCCCGTGCTGCAGTATTCCGTCGTCGCTGCGAACCTCAACCGCATTCCAACGAGTGACATCGCCCTCCTCATTACCGTAAAAAGGCATCGTGTTCGTGCTGACAGCTGACCGTCTGATATGCCGATTTCGTATATGCCGTCAGAATTGCATCAATAAGGGACTGACACCTTTGACGCTGGAACTCTATGGTTTATGGCATTTATTCGATGTTCAGAATACCAGTAGGGCTCAGCAGAATGGAGAAGTCGACTTTTAAAACAACAGCGCAAGGAGCCACAGGCAGTTATAGGCGGTGTCTCAGTGCGGCACACTCAATAAACGCTGACACGCTGACAGTGACGCTGTACCGCATGCTTTCGTCTGAATGGGCCGCGGTATTGGTTCAATGCACGTGGCGTGCCCGTGGTGATTCAAACTGACGGATCTGTGTGGCGAACTCGGACTCACGATAATGCCGAGTAATCGTGACAACCGATGACTCAGCATTATGGTGAGTGGAACGAGTAGAACGCAAGCACGGTCCGCATCAGATTTCAGATTTGCGGTGGTAGAATTCTAACTTTTGTCAGTAACATTTGTCTGGAAGTGAAAAACATTTGTTAGTAACATACAAAAACATTTGATTTTAATATTTGATTGAAACCAAAGCACATTACTACTTACCATTTATTTGGAAAACATTTGCGCGATCGGTAAACCATAGCGTTCCTGTAGTGTATGAACATACGCAACTGCGGACACTGCGGACGCAACAACGTGTAAGGCGCCATCCATAAATTACGTCACGCAAAAAATTGGACATTTTGATACCCCCCTCCCCCAGTGTCACCAATGCTAACAAACTGGGATCCCCTCCCCTGAGCGTTACGTAACAAAATATGAACCCCTCCATCGATATAGCATGTTGACGTCATCATCGTAACAAATTTTTAAAGCCCCCCTCCCCCCTTGTAACAAACAGTAACGCCGCCTAATACACGTTGTTGCATACACGTGGTGTATGCAACAACGCAATTTCAGAGGCGACGGCAGGCGAAGGATGGTGTGAGAGATCGTTTCTGTCGTAGCCGCACCCGCCGGGAATTTGAATTCAGTACTACTGTGGCTCCACAAAAAAAAGAAGCGCTCCAATTTTTTCTTAACGTTCCATATACAGAATATACTATCCCGGCGTTCAATAACTTCTAGACAATCTAAGACAGCGGTTTGTGCTTTTGAATCTATGGGTATGGTTTCCAGCCGCAGAAAAAGGCAGAACTTCGCTTTACCGCACTCGTTCTTGCCAGTTGCCAGTGGCTTGAAGAAGTGCGATGAAGACGAAGTCCGTCTACAAAATTCTCCATAGAATATCCTCTAAATGTGAGTGCACAATCCGATCTAGCCTGATTTCGAGAAGTTGTCATTACGCTTTTACAGGCTGCTTTTTCTGTAGGTTGGTTGGCTGCTTTTCCGCGTTTGAAGTCGTAATCCATGAGGCGAACGTCCAAAAACTACTTGCTGCAGCCGTTTTCCTGGACGTCCTTGCTTTACCTAACACGTGTTTCATATTAAATATAGCGTTTTTACCAATAACATGCATTATGTTAGGCTTGTTAGGTTGATGCTGTGTGTAGGTGTGCTTGCACGGGCATTGTCTGCGTGCACGGAGTTCGGACACGGGTGTTGGCTGGGTGCACGGGTGACCTTTTGGGTCCACACGGGTGGAAGCTGTGTGCACGGCTTTCTCTATTTTAATTTTTTATGATTTTCGCATTTTAGTCGTAACATTTACAGTTTTGTCTTATTTAACTAGAACACGTTTTTCGACCGGTTTCTGACATATTTTTCATGTGCCATAATCTGGAAATAGTTAGAGATACAGATAATAGATAGATACAGATACTTTGTTTTACGGCTCAGAGTTATTCCTGCGCACCTTGATGCAAGTGAAATGGTGTCAGTTACATGCTTCATAAGCGGTCACCGAATGTGTTCGCCATTTCGCACCAGACCCTGCTCAAAAGTGGCCGTTCCAGGATCCATCCCGAAAAGGAATGCGCAACGCGGTAGCCATGGCCATATTACAGAATTCTCACGTGGCTACGTTGCACAGAAATGGCATTACCTTATTACAAAAATCTTCATGGAGAAAATATTACAGAAACTCTCACGTCTTCGACTCTTCTTACTGTGACTTTCAAGTACTTCATGGCACCGCACTAACAAGCGTTAACTGGTAACATAGTACTTGCTATGTACAGCTTTTCAGCCGTTCACAACGCTCGAATTATTTCTACTGTAAACACGCTTGTTGCTTCGATCGGTCACACGAGTACAGGGAAAGGTCAAAGTGCCCCCGCATGAGAAAGGCTTAAAGCAGCCGCAGCATGCGCACGCCACGTGCCTTAAAGCAGCCACGAGAAAGGTTGTTTACTATTCGGGACTACCGCCGTAGCGGACTAAGCGGTAACGGAGGCAGTTGTAACTCGAAGAAGATGGCTATCTATCGGTGTTGTTGCTCGATCACGCTAATTGATATCGAGCACGGCTTATGCACCATCACACCGGCATCTTTTGCACTAAGCAGACCAGCTCCAACTATGCAGTAAAGAACTATTTTTGCCACATTTTCGATTCCATCACAGCAGTATGCTGTAGTTAAGTAATCATGACGCTTTTTACCTGTGGATGTGATAACGTTAACAGTACTTCTTCAGAGCCTTGACGGTAAGCATACAGTGTACAACTTATTCTGTCAGTTTGTAACTGCCGTGTTGCAGTGAGTAATGGGCATCGTTTGCTGAATGGATATTGCGGCCGCACTTTGTCCCTGTCTTCGTGCTACGAGAGCGATTCCGTCTCGATCGACGACAGTCGTCACTTGTCCTTCTTCAACCTGTCCGCGTTTCAGCGTTGCGCCGTTACCGTGGAGCTGAACGCCTGTGATGACGCGCCAAGGGCTTTGTATTTCAATATCCAGTAAGAACTTCATAAGGAAGATAATAGCAGAATGCGCGATAATATTAATCACGGTGACTGTTAATTAGGGAAGCAGATTTAGCGCCCAGCGCTTTCGTTACCATCTGGCAACTGGATTCACTGTCCAATGCTAGTGTTCCCTGGAAACAGATCTCCGGCCGCCGCAACGACGGGAACATTAATCCGCGCTCCGTCGGCCAGTTCATGACAACCGCGGTCAGGCGCCCAAGGGTACGGCTGGTGTATCAAACCGCGGAGGACTACCAAAAGAATCAAGTAATCTTAACCTGGAACACCGTTTACAGTAAGTATTTCGACTAGTTTATTCGAAACGAAACGGATATCACGCTATTTTAGACGGGACACCCAGCAGCGACGGGCATACGCTGGTATTCTGTTCGGCACTGAACGGATACGTCAATCGGGATTTATTGTGCGGTCAGACGCAGATCGTCGTCTGTCCCAGCCGGTTTGTTGCTAACGTCAACGAGCCGAACGCCGTCAAGGCGATGGATTTACGCCAGTGCGAAGACAAAGGTATAAACAAAAAGCTCATGTTCTTAATGGCGAGAGACGGTCACGAGATAACGGTTTTGGTAGACGAAATGCTGGGTATTTTCGAAGAACGCTTTCTTACTTCAAAGCTGAACACTTCCAAATGGAACGTTGCTGATTATTTGGACGCGATGGAGTCGGTACACGCCACCCCTGAAAATGTGCATATTAAAGACGGACATTTAACGCTTTCTATCCTCAATAGCGACGGCAGGGTGACCGTCGGCAGACTAAACACAACCGGCAAATTTCAGTTTCTCTACGGCCAAGTGGAAATTCGCGCTAAAATCCCTCAAACACAGTACCTCTTAACGTGGACCTCGTTCAATCTGGTTCGCGCAAACTGCGGCGCGGATTGCCAGGAATGCATACAGATTGCCAGCGCCTGGAGCGACTTCCCCCGCCACACCGACGCGGGCCTTTTTATTCCGCTGCCCGGGAAGCCGCTCGCCGAGGATACGCGGCACAACAGCCACATGACGGAGGATTTTCACGTGTACGGATTATCGTGGACGGAGACCGCGGTGAAATGGTACGTAGATGAGCAAGAGGTCTTCCGTGTGGAGGCCACCGACACACCGCATTTTCCGCGGTATTTCGCAGAGCTTGTCATCTACACGAGCGCAGCAAACCAGACCGGTATGACCGCCACCGAACTCTTAATCGACTACATCGTGGTGCGACAGCGTAAGCGCGATGCCATTGAAATGCTGCCCGTACTATCGACGACGACAAGCGTTCCTGCATGGGTATGGACATCGGTCGCCGTGTGCCTCGGGTTCGTAGCGGCGATTTTGGGAACGGTGTGCCTAGTGAAGCGGACACAGGCCGCCCGAATTAATCGGCTGTTTTTTTCTGCGGCTCTCGCTCCGGAAAATGTGGAGGTTGTGTATGAAAATACGGCGTGTTCGAAATCTGTATAGTGAAATAAATTTTAGTACCACAACTGATACTCTAGCCAGATGCGTACTGAAACGGATCACGTGTTCCGACTAGCGAAATTTCAAATGAACACTTAATTAAATAAGGAATAACGGGCATTATTTAACTTGCAAGTCATACTCTATGTTCTTCAGCCCGAATGATTTGGACGCTTTGCGCAGCGGACTCAGCCTTATTAACACGAAAGCCTGGACAAACTAATTTTTGGGGCACCTTTAATCGACAAACAAGGGAACACTAACAAGCGCAACAAAATCCACACCTTGCCACGGCTACATATGCCGTACCACTTACAAGTGTCAGATAGCGTAAAGCTACTGATGGTTTAAGGTGGTGAGTGACCTTTACTGAATAGCTAACTCAGACACGACGCTAACCCAATTGTTCTGCTAACGTTGACCTTTATGTAAACTGATAGAAGCTAGCACTGCAACAACATCAAGGCTAAGAAGACATTCTAGAGAACACTTTCCAAGACCAGATATTCCAGAGCTGCTAGCCATGCAGGATGACATTAATTCATTCACAAGGAGTTCTTCTCCCTCAAGCACTTCAGCAATGATTTGTGATCCAAAATATGAAAGATGAGAGAACACGCCTTCAACTCAAAAGCACTCATAGACAAACCACGAGTCAACATTTTATTGATTGTTTTCTAAAAGATCAAAGTACACTTAACACAATACTAATTGGCTGATACTTTCTGGCCACTTCCTTCCGTTGCAAACCACATCACAGTATGACTGTCCATACAAAATGTACTTCGACCAGTCGTACTCGTGACACAAGTCAAAACTGGTAGTCTCGTTAGTCACCGTATCGTTCAACAGTGCAATATATCAACTGTCTTTCCATATAAATCTAATTAATGGGGATAACTTTTAATAATATGTCGAGGCAACAACTCTACAGCAGATGAACTTTTGGAAGTAAACGTGGCCCTAGACTGCACAGGCGACTTCAGCACTGATAAAAAAACCATAATTATGACTAATTAATAAAAGCAGGAGAACAGAATCCCACTAAGACATTTTGTACTACAGAGGTACATAGTTAATTTACCGTCGTTAACGTTGTGTCTGGTAGTAAACGCTAGAGCTGGAAATTGATTTGTAATGTACATCTAAATAAATTAATTTCGATATTGAAAGTGAATTATTAGGGAAAGTGATTTATTAAGCCTTCGACCACTGGCTGACGACCTTTTGCTGATCGGCAAAATGTTACCCGGCAGTTCGTGGAAGCGACAGTATGCTAACGATTATAGCAGTGCAGGTTATTTTCGAAAACTACTTCCTTAATTCAACGCTTAACACTTTTTTTTATATAGAGTGTTGCTGACTACGTTTGACACGAAAGATTTATTAAACGTCACATCCAGAAACGTTCACAGCATAACGGCCACTTGGCGCTTTCAATCCAGAACAACGATGGACGAATAACGGTGGGCCGACTCAACATCACCGGCAAATTTCAAATCCGCTACGGCGACGGAGAAATCGCATTATAAAAGCTCGTAAATTTAAATCGTAAACTGCGCTTACAAGTTATAACTTGCACGTCAACGGCAGACTGCAGGCTGTCCATAAACGAGTGTGCTACGCACAGTATTTAAAGCTTACGGCGCAAATACGCATCTCGTTTTCTTAACAGCCTTTTGCTTGTAAACTGTTTTGTTCTTAATCTTAGTACTGCTTCTCTTTTCCCATTTTTCTTCCTAACAAACAACCAGAAAGAACGACAATCAGAAGACTGCCATGATAATTGACAAACCAAACCCGCAGTGGTTGCCCAGTACGCTGCGTTACATTTGCAAAATGTTGTAGCCAGACGCCATGCAACCGCAGTGCGGAGCCAGTTGCTATGCAAACGCATCCGTCAGCCGTTGTAGCGTGCAATCTTGTCACTTTTGTTTTTTCCACTTGCCAGTTCTCAGTTCTGCGTGTTGTCACTTGTTGACTTCGTGATAATTATACTCGTATCTATCGTACTGGGGAAAGACATTGTGGATAGTACGATTATTTCTGTGAACAGTACGTAAGGGAAAATTGAATGAGTATTATTTGAAGCTCCCCTTGACGTCTTCTGGTGATTAACCCACCTGCCAGATAGTGAGTTCTTGCCCAGATTGTCCGTCTTTGCAGTGAACAGCGCCATGTCGCTCGTGCAGAGACCCAGCCAGGCGCTGAGTTTGAGTGAGACACAGTTGGGGCAGCTGTCGTTATCCGACACGAAGCTGCCGTGCAGACCTCGTCCCCAGGCTGTTGGCCGTAGTTCTCTGGGCAACATGCACACGTCGTCGGACTCGGGGGAACGGCAGGATAACGCCGTGGCGCGACGGGTCGCGGGTGGATTCGCGCTTCCACAGGTATTCCAACGTTATCGCGCTCTGGCTAATCGCTAACAAATCGCAATTAATTGATGGGTCTGGCGATAGTCTTGTAATTGTTGCTGGCATGTGTCAGCCAGTAATTTTTATTATTTCTTGCATACTTGCACTGGAAGAATTACTCACTTTCTTATTTACATGTAGGTTCGAAATCGCATCATTATTCGCATATTACAATTATTGTGATTGCGATTTGTGAGTACAATAATAATAAATTTGGCTGGCGTTTTTTGGGTATGGAACAGAACTTTTTAATTTTAATTTCAGGCCTAGAGGCGGTTTTATAAATTAATTTCTTAACAATTTCTTTAAAGAATTTTTGCAAGTACATAACGAAAATAAAACAATCTCCTGAAATCAGCAAGAAGGAACAGTTGTCAGCTCGTAACTATGGATTTATTTTATCATTAGAATTTTATTAGGATTTTTTAATGGCGCGCGAGACTCGAGAGAGAACGCACTGGCGTCTATTGTATAGTAATAAATCTTTCTAAATGATCATAAAATTAAATACGGGGTAATAGTTATAAAATGCAGCAACACTTTTATATTAATTATCTACGAGTATAAGTTGAATAACAATTTTATTTGAAATTTAATTACAAATTTAGTTGTAAAATTCTAATAAAAACTCAGTCATAAAACCTAGTTATTGATGAGTAAATTGATTAAATAACTGAATAATTTTATTTGATATCGCGAATGTTGTGGGCAGGCTGGGAGTGCAGCGGAGAGTGTGGTGGCGGCCTTCCTGGGTGCCCATCAACGCGTGCTGCAGAAGGTGGGGATCCTGCCGAACGCGCAGCAGCTGTTGGCCGTCTGCGAGGCGTACCGCGCGGACGTCTTCGCCCTGCTGGACAAGAAGTTCCTCCCCAATGTGCCGGCGCTGTGGACCAGTGCGGCGATGCGCTACGCAGCGCCGCCGCTCGCTCCTGCAATCACCGCTCCCGATTCCTCCCTGGTAAGTCCCGCTTTTTCCGCTTCTGCTGGCTTACCAATAATGCCACCATAGTGCCATATTCCTCAACAACTGACAGACGCATCACTGCGTAGGATAAAATCTGTATTGTGTTAATAATTTTTTTTTCCGGTAAGTATTACCAGTTTTTCGTAATGAGCATCTAAAGTAAGTTTGGAAAAATGTTGGGTTATTATGGTAAAATTTTTTTCGTGTCAACAAATGTCAACACAAAACGTTATTTTCTTCAGTCAGAACCGACTTCATATCATTATCGTGTTTCTGTAAAGAAACCGAAACAGAAGATAACCTATACTTTTTCCTGCTACTTTCAGAGTACCGTGATAATTTTGCTACCGAATCTTGTGTTTTGATCAGCAAAATACAGTTATTCAGCTGTAAAGAGCGTTTGTAAAAAAAGTTTCTTATGTCTTATGCTTCGCATCTTCGGTACGCCCTGAGCGGAAGTATTACGTATTCTGACATCATTGCGGTAAAGGTTAACTTTGGGATCTGTCGATATTATTTTCAGCTGTTTTTTTATCAATTTTGGTCTTCTTATTGTCGGCTAATATGATCTGAAAAGGCACATTTCCTCGCTATTTTGGCACTTTTGCTTTCGTATTTACTGGAAAACGTTTGAAAAGCGAGTCTATAACTGCCTAAGTAACGCTACACTCACTTGGACAGCACGGGTTAGTATTTTATTTATTTTATTGCTGTACTCGTATTTGGATTTCTTGGTGATCGTGGCCGGACGTCTTTCCAGGCTGCGATTATGCTGATCGTTTTTATATGTACATCAGACAAAGTTTGTTTGCTCTTTGGCCGGTGATCTGAAGTGCGGTGTTGCATCGCCTGATGACTGACCTTCTGCAGGTGGCCATGCACCAGTTGTTGGGAAGCGTTAACAGCCTGATCGTGCAGGAAAAGTAAGTTTCCACTTTTCACTTATCGATTTCCGGTTTTCTTCTTTTTTTTCGGTTGCTTTGCAGAAGGTACAGTGTGGTACACGTTTCAAACATCTCGTCACTGCCTATGTGGCGCGCTTGTTGCGTTCGCCGATCACTGATCATCTGGTCTCGAGTTTTCCAATTTTCAGTTAATTTCTCTGACAATTATTAATGGTCTGTAGATAATGCAATGAATTTCATGCGTCAAAGTTTCCTTCACTTTTTACTGGGATTATTAAGTAAAAGAAGAAACCGTAACCTTACTTTGCGATTGCTTTATTTGGCTGGTTCCTTTGAAAACGGCTCGGTTTGGATACTTAGAAATTCATTAAACAGATGACAATGTCATGGATAAGATGCAATCTTTTACCGGCAGAGAATTACTGTAGAACAAAACTTGGATTACTGTACAATAATGTAGGACTAAATGGTCGCATACCCAGCATGCCCCATACCCAGCATTCTGTACGCAGGCGGTGCAGTGCACTTGTACGAAACGGATATTTTGAACTTAGTCGTGCAGTGCACTGCGCTGCATGCGTACTGAATGTGGAGATGTTGGGTATGCGACCATTTCGTCCTAAGCTGTATTTGTTCGCGTTTCATGATGGGAATTCGGGGTGATTATTTAAACACATCTTTTCTCTAAACTGTAGACTTCTCCGCTCCATGGTATTTTAAGCAGCTTCGACCTTTTTTCTTAATCCATTAGTTAATTTGCTAAACGGTTCTTGTATGTTGGGAATAAGTCTTAAGGCTTAACTAACACTGCTTTCGACTTACTCTGTATTATTCTGAAACGGGAAAACATTGAGCTTAATAAATATTGAATATATTCAAGCAATACGAAAAGATGGCAGTAAAACAAGGCGCATGAGAAACGGCGAATAAGGTGATTTCTTGAAAATATGTCCTTGAAACAGATGCTGTTACTTTAGTCATTGAATGGTTTTCAGGCACCGGGAGTACTTGGAGGGCTTGAACGTGGAATCACTGCTGCGGAACACGCGCGCCATCATGGACGAGTACGCTTTGGATCATCCTTACTTCAACTACGACTGGCTGGTGGAGTGGCTGAAAGTGCTGCGCGTGCTCTTCCCGAAGTGGGCGGGCTACGTCGTGCTGGAGTTGGTGGGGGACTTTGAGGGCGTGGAGCTGGACTACGGGGCCGTGCTGACGGGGGACTCCAGTCCGAAGGTGCTGCTGATCGTCAAGGGCTTCCTGGGCCGCTGGCCGGGCTACGAGCGCGCGGGGGAGTTCCGGCAGGAGTGGGACCTGTGGACCATGTCGCAGCAGATGCGCCGCAACGGCGTCGCCGCTTTCCCCGAGCGCATGTTCTGGCTGTGCTTCCGCGGAGTGCACTGTGGGTGTGGCTGGCAGGAGGGCGCCGTGTTCCCGAAGCGCGTCTGGCCCGATGACGCCGACATCTACCACGACATCCGCCACGATGAATCGGTCCGAACGCTGTGCCGCTTTGCGCAGTCGGTGGTGGAGCGCATGATACGTGGCCAATGGGTCATCAATCGCGCTGTCCTCGATAAGTAATGAGACGGAGGTTTTCGCCTGTGGTTGTTTCTTTATTGCTGTAGTTTAACGGAAAATATTTCGCATTAACCTCACTGTTTTGTAGTGCTCCCATGTTTTGTAGTGCTTTAGTTTTACGGAAAGTATTTCGCAATATTTCTTCGTTTTGTAGTGCTCCCATGTTTTGTAGTGCTTTAGTTTTACGGAAAGTATTTCGCAATATTTCTTCGTTTTGTAGTGCTCCCATGTTTTGTAGTGCTTTAGTTTTACGGAAAGTATTTCGCAATATTTCTTCGTTTTGTAGTGCTCCCATGTTTTGTAGTGCTTTAGTTTTACGGAAAGTATTTCGCAATATTTCGCAGTTTTCTAGTGCTCCCAAGTCCTGACAGTTTCTGTTTTGTATGCTCCCAGCGTTCATGTTTTTGCATAAGATAACCACCCAGTTTACGAGTGACTCGAGTGTTTGTCTGCTCACTGAATAAATCGAACTTATGACTAGTTAGCCCGGGTGATATGATGACTAGTGTTTCTTTCAGTGTATGATATCATGACTACTTATGACTAGTGTTTCCTTCAGCTGTTGTTCCTGTGACCCTTTCCGTAGACTTGAATGTTGAACCGGAACTCTAAAGGCCCTGCTGGTTTTGAATTGGACATCACCCAACCAATGTCTCAAGAGGATGAGTGAAATTTTAAGTTCTGATATTAAATAAATCGCCTTGTACAAGTGTCTCGTCTCAGCCTTTATTGTCCTGTGGTTGGTCCAATTCAAGATGGTCAATACATGTAGTTAACAATTTTATGAAAGTAATCAAACAAAGTGCTACGTAATTGACAACAAGGCAACATTTTGGCGCCGCAAAAAGGGCAAGCCGACCTGCACATCACAAAGGGGCCCAAAAAAAGAATGAAGTACTGTATTAATCAAGGTAACTTCGATCAATTCGATGTTCTGGTAGACATGTCACATAACATACAAGTTTATGGAGAGAACTAATCTGTTTGTGACTTTGTGTGTGGTAGAGCACTAAGAGCAGGTTGTTATTCCATGGCGGTTGACCGCGTTGCACAGGCACGGTCGCGGATCATATTTTACGTCCTTTATTTTCGCAGAACGCTTTCTCACCTTGACGCTGAACGCTTCCAGGTGGAAGATTGCTGACTATTTTGACGCGATGGAAACGGGTATACGTTACACCCAAATGCGCTGAGATTAAAAACCAACACATAGCGCTTTCCATCCTCAACAACGACGGGAGGGTGGTCGTCGGCAGATTAAACACAACTGTAGTTACTGTACAGCAGATAAAACTGTTGAAAGTAAACGCTGTGTTTGATTATGCAGAAGTTTTGGCGTTGATCAGTAAAACAACCTTTATTTTGAATAAGTAACAGCAGAAGAACAGAATCCCACTAAGACAGTTTGTACTACATAGTTAATTTACAGTCGTGGTGTCCGGTAGTAACCGTTATAGTTACCCCCTGTGAGGAGAAGTGGCCTCCCCGCACACCCGCACCAGTGCGGGTGCTAAGTTGTTTTACTGCATTTTGATGGTATTTTTCTCCATTTACGTACCAGATCTTCAATCTGGTAGATTATTCAGCTGCTAGCCATCGTCGTCTGAGTAACCTGCTGTCCTTTTGGCCCCGCAGCATTCTGCTGCGGGAGCTTCTGTAGTGTTATATGAAGGGGACATAAAAGCATGCAGGTGTTTGTCGAGTGTTTTGTGAAAAAGCGAACTTTCGGTCAGCACATTGTCGTGGAGCGAAACGGAGATTAGTAAATTGACGTGCTACCCAAGTGACGATTGTAGCCGTATCACCGCAGCACAGACGGGACGTACTAGAAGCGATCACGAATTGCCTTTTGAATGTTGCTGCAAACTTGCACCAGCCAAGTTACTAAGAACCGCAAGAGCCACATCAATCAAATCAAGCAGGAGCTCGACATCATTTCTCCGGATCACCCAGACTAATTATGGTTGGTTTATTCAGCGAGCAGACAAATCCTCGAGTCACTGGTAAATCGGATTGTTATAATTATTATAAAGAAAATAAAAACTAGGGAACATACAAAAAACAGCAACCGTCAGGATTTCGGACACTACAAAAAAGTGAAGAATACTGCGAAATACGCTCGAAATAGGAGCGAAAATCATTATTTATCTCCAGCCGAATGGAGCACAGCGCGACTGGGGACGCATTGGACACGCATCAGGCGCTCCACCACCGACTGCACAAAGCGGCACAAAGTTCTGACCGAATCCTCGTGGCGGATGTCGTGGTAGATGTCCGCGTCCTCGGGCCAGACGCGCTTCGGGAACACGGCCCCCTCCTGCCACGTGTGAAATCGTTTTGCGCGCGCAACATCCGGTTGAAAATTTATGGGCGAACCAGAATTCCAAAAAGTTTAAATGCATTAACGTGTAGGAAAGGTCTCATTATGGACTGATCTCCTTGACCATGAAGATAGTTCTTATACCATCCGATGTTCTGCCATGTTTTTCAAATTTCAAAAGGAATTTTAAAATTCGGAAAAACTCGTGGAAGTGTGGATCGATGTAAGAACGATATTCGCGTTTATGTGAATTTACTTGTAAAATTTGAAGGAGATCAGTCCATAATGAGACTTTTGGTACGGCCCTTTATGGTACACCTGAATGCATAAAAACCTTCTGAAATTTTGTAACCCAGATCATTCCGCAAATGCTCTGGCTACAAAATATCATAAAGTAATGCAAAAAATCCTTTGAAAATGCGCGATAGCGGAAGTTCCCGTGGATGTACACTTATTCGGTGCTAAGTACCGGGTCAAATCCCTTAACGACTTTATAGAATCTGTTTTAACGAGGTCGATATGTCATTAAGAAGTGTATACGCAAAATTACCAAAATATGCGGTCTTGTTACAAGACCGCAGCAGAGCTGCCAAGAAAAACAACATCGGGTACTGTAGCCGCTAGACCAACTTGCACCACAGAGTCAGGTGTACGGAAAAAGACACAACGTATACACATACGCTGTTCGATTAAAAATTTTATTTCTACTGCATTATTGATTTTTAAACGGTTCCATGGATATTAACATCAAAATTTATGATCTTTATTCCACCTATTTATTTGTGTTTTGGTTGCAAGTACTGTGATAAGCTATTCTGTCATAGCTCTAACATATTGTAATGGGCAGAAAGCAGCGTTCTTATACGGACGACGAGATAAGAGCTTTTCTTAACGGGTCTGCTGTCGCTGGTGTGAGTGAACGCAGTTACGCGAAAGGAATTGGTACTCCATGGCGCACTTTCATGTTCTGGAAAAGGTACAATTTTGAATTTATGATAACCTTCTTGCCCCAAAATACTGGAAAGGAAAGCCAGTATAATTGCAGCAGCAGGCTAAAGAAGAACGAGCCACTACGTAAGCACAAACACAAGCGGAAACCAGACCACCTGGACGTCGAAGATGCCCTGTATGAATTTCTCTTGGGCGAGCGAAAGAAAGGGCTCATCGTAACGCGTCAAGAATTGAAAACCAGAGCTCTGGAATTAGCACAGGCGAAAGGAGCTCCGACGTTTAAAGCTTCAGACTGTTGGCTGACCTGTTTCATAAAGAGGAAGTGCTTACGATATCGCGTCCCAACGCGCCATGCTTGAAAATCAACATTTACGGAGCAGGACCTGGTAATCTAAAATTCAGTTACATCCCATTAATTATTTAGAGCTCTGACGATCGTTTTAATAACAGGAGGAAGAACTGGAATACTTTTTACGCCTGTACAATTCGATTGTTTTGGACGGTACTCCCACAGACCGTGTCTTCAATTTCGACCAAACGATGATCCGCCTGGTATCACCGAAACCGAAGACACTTTCTCCCATAGGAGTCAAAGAAGTAAATTTTTAAACATTTTTGCTTGATTTTATAGGCAACGGAAGAAGAATGCTGCGAATGTTTAGAGCTCTGATAGTTTTGTTAATGAATAACTGCTGTTGTTTGTTGTGGTTTTTGGGGTGCCCCGGGCGGGGGTGGGGGAGTAAAGCTTTCCCCATGTCAGCTGACAATAAATGGCTTTACAGGTAATTGTCAAACAACCTCCCGGCGAGAAGGAAGGCATCACTGTTTCTCTTACGATCCGTGCTGATGGTGGCAAGTATCCTGCGGTGGTTGTGCTTAAGGGGGGAAGAACGGAAAGTTATCGGACGCGATAATGTCAAAGCTGAAAATTCCACCAAATATTTTCGTTGAGAGCTCGTACACTACGTGGTGGACGGAGCAGATGGATCATGATTGGATACGATACACTTTTCCCGAGGAATCGCAAAAGCGGGTTTTGGTAAGAGACCAGGCACCTGTCCGCATGAAAACGCCATCGGAGCTCCTACTTCGCGAACGCAACGTCGAGCAGATATTCGTGCCTGCGGGCCGTACAGGGGACTATCAACCGCTGGACGTGAGCGTGAACAAGTCGTTGAAGGCATTCTTCCGAAGTGAATACCAGGCATGGCGCGCAGCGCACCATGATGTGACAAAATCAGGGTATCTCAAAAAGCCAGGGCGCCAGGACTTTCTGGATATGATATCGCGAGCTTGGCAGAAGGTGACGCCAGATGTTGTTCGAAAGTCTTTTTTTGCTGCTCAGGTGTTACAGAATAATGAGCTAGAAGTTGACTGTGAGAGCTCTGACGAATATAAGGAAAATTTGTTAGATGAAAGTGATTCTGAAATGGAGATTAGTTTTTTTAGTGATAGCATTTTAGAAAGCGACAATACCTGTGAGATGAAAAACGGTTTACCAGAATAAATATAATAATTCAAAAAATAAAACTGAAATGTGATAATGTGCGCTGCCCGGTGGCGGAAAGCGCCGTGCTCGATACCCGGCAGGGTGTAAACAGCGGCCGGATCTGAACGTGGTGCAAGTTGGTCTAGCGGCTACAGTACAAATCATTCCCGATCAGCCAATCTATGAGCGTCGAACAGTACTCAGCACCCAAGTTGAGCGTCGAACAGTACACAGTGTGACGATGATGTCTGTGTTGACGAGCGAGCGCAGCACCAATAAATACAATTTTCAGGCAGACAACAAACTGAACAAAGCATAACACGCAGAACTGGAAAGTGGAAAACACAAACAACTGTGTTTTCCACTTTTGTCGATAGAGATTCAGCGGGGTAACGCGGCGTCAGTGCTTGGCACGATGGAAGGGCTGGATAAATTAAATGAGATTTTCTTGCTGTAGTTTGCATGTTTCTTTCTTTACTTTGCCCCCAAGTATGATTTGACCAATAAAAATGATGAAACAACTGTCAGTTTGTGACTGTCTGTCACGTTACAACGGTTGACGGAGGAGTTTCATTACAACTGGCCCCGCTGTGCGGGTGCATGGCTACTGACTGTAATAGTTTGCAAAAGGCGAAGCAGCGTACTGGGCAACCTCTGCCGGTTCGGTTTGTCTGGGAGTCTTCTAATTTCATTCTAAAATGTGCTGATTTTTAATTACGGTTGAAATGTGGCCTTGCGGTATTCAGCTGACGGAACCTTGGGCTCCTTTGATCGCCATCGTGGAAGCTCGCCGTGTGGTTGCAGTGGGCGACCACCAGCAACTTCCACCGGTCGTGCAGGACCCAGCCAAATCCGCCCACGCCGTCCCCGGTCTGGA